ATTGACGAGAGAAAACTCTACGACCGGGTGAAAATGCATGAGAAGGGATGTCTCTTTCATAAAATATAACTTTCAGCCGTAGGGTATGTCGGTGCATTAAACTCGAAAAATAAGCGTCTTTTTCTAGGTTCGTCACTGCACTATTCGAAGTGTCAGTGAAATTATTTTATATTTTTTAATAATTTTATTTGCATTAGTTATCTTACAATATTTTTAATCACATGCATTTGTGATTATTAAACTACCTCTATATTGTTTTTAAAAATGTTTGAATCTCTAGTTTAATAAATCTCCCATGATTGTTTCGGTATAATAAAACAGTTATGGAATGGGTACTCGGGAAATATCAAATTTATGGTTCCCCTCGGCAGGAAGCTATTTCCCTCGGCGGCGAATCGGGAAATAGTTTCCTCCCTTGGGGAATCATAAATTTGCTATTTTCCTCATACCCATTCCATAACATGCTTACAACAAAAAGCCAGGAAAACTATTCTGATTTGTTATCAATGTAAATAGCTGTATCCGTTAAACTTATGAAACAGTTTAAACTTTACTGAATGAAAATAACTTCACTGTAAGCTTGAATTCATTATATGTATGTTTGCTATAACCGTATTTTATGATACAAGTACAACCTCCATACTGTTTAAAGCGTGGAATTATTAAGTACTTCTAATATTCCTAATTAATATTTCACATGCAGTTTCAATAGGAACCTTTTCTATGACAGGCTGTGAGATGACCCATTTCTGGAACTGTGTCCCAGATAAAACATAAAATGGTCGTTCATTTTCATCCTCACATTTCCCACACACAATGGCCTGCAATGGCTAAAAATCAACAATGTTCTGTCAATAAAAAAGGTAGCTCAGAATTTCAATAATAGTAATTCAATCAAAACAAAGTTATTTTTAAAATGCTTTGATGTCACTTATGTTGTACCCTTGAACTTACAGCATGGCTTGTGTACATAATCAAATCATCTTAAAGCAGTTCCCTGTTCACATGGTTGAATAAAGACCAGACTTACTGCCCCTGATGGTTGTAGGTTGGAAGCCCCGAATATAAAGGATAACATTCGTCTACCAATTCCTGAAAACATTCCTTGTGATTCCTTCAGAGCGTGGTGGGTCAATGTGTTCTACAATTAATTAAGACAGAGATATTATATAGTTATCCAGGTCTAATCAAGTTTGTACAAGAATTTACCCCAGGTTTTATTCCATACACCCTGAGGCCAAAGAAACTTTTACAGCATACCAGAGCATTCGGAAATATTATTCTGTGATCACAGCAAACATTAATTAATGTTTCCGAGATGAACCTGACAATGACAAGATTATATACCATTAGGGGTGTGTGAATCATCATGACTTACCTGAACAAGACGATAAATGACTTATCTGGCCTGACACTTAAGAAAGGTGTGTGAATCTGAAAGACTTACCTGGACAATGTTGTAAATTTTGACTTACCTGGCCTGACATTGGAGACAGAAGAAGGAAACTAGTTGTTGTAGCCAGCAGGCATCAAAACGGCTAAAAAGAGTGTCTCATAAATTACAGCTATTCTTTTCATGACTATAACAAAAGGTTAGTGCTTATAACTTCTTACCTTTTACACACAAAAAGGCTTCAAAATCATACACAATATCACAAGGAAGATTTTACTCAAAGTAAACTACACTTGCGCATGCACTCATCTCCTCTGAACTCTGCACTGATTTCTGTGGAGGAGCCTTCGAATTCGTAGGCGATGTTCGGCCAGTATCTGACGACACCCTCTGGTGCCACAGCGATACAGGAAGCAGACTGCTTGTCTGTATATGGCTGGGGATGACAGACTCAGTCAGCATTGTGGGCAAGATCACTTGGAGAAAATTTGACTTGTCAAGAAACTTAAGGTTTTGCCAAAGGTCAAGATGTCTAAAAAATTATTTTTACAATAGCTCCAAAGCTATGTGAGGTATAAGGTTAAAACTTTTACAGTTTATAAATATATCATTGATTAATAAATAGAAAGTATCACTTGAAAACAAATATTTAAAAAAATATTTTTTTGAGAAAATAAATTCAAAAAATTTGCATATTTTAAAAAAAATGCACCTGCTTAATTCTGTACTTTTAGTAAAAACCATCATTGCAGAAATAATATATGTTTATCAATGAAGGGCAAGTTGGACGTGAATGGTCTCTGTTATTGAAAGCATGACATGTATAAGACAAGACCCCTATAAAATCCGCCATTTGCAATGTACTTTCAATTCTTAACATTTGGACAAAATAAACAGGGAAAACAACTTTCCAGAGGCTATCAAAGTCCAACTAACCCTTCATTAATAAACATACATTGTTTCTGCAATGATGGCTTTCACTAAAAGTACGGAATTAATTAGGTGTATTTAAAAAAAAATATATACATTTTTTTAGAAAGAAATTTTCTCGATAAACATTTTTTTTAAGTATTTGTTATCAAGAGATACTTTCTGTCTGTTAATCAATGATATATTTATAAACTGTAAAAGTTTTAACTTTATAAACCAAATAGTTTTGGAGCTATTGTAAAAATAAATTTTTGGACATGTTGACCTTTGGCTATAAACCTTAAAGCTCAAGTTATGAGATGAAAAACACACGGCTACAAACGCTACAGAAACATCTACATGAAGTAAACAAGAACATTTTTAACATCAAGGATGAAATCAATTCAACTGAGATAGCTCTAGACACTAATGACTTCAAAACTATATAGTGTCACATCCAATGTACATCTAGCACAGATATTAGCAAATTTACTCCAGGAAAAATTCAAGGAGAAAAACTCAGTGAATTGCTTGGAATTTACCCAAACCTTTTTGGAAAGGATATCTCAAAACTTTTTTCTACCTCAATATGAAAGAATGGCTTTAAAATAATTTAATACTTAATACATTAATATATACCGTAAAGCAAAAATTTAGAGTATGCAACAGTTTATATTTGCAAATCGCCCAACAAAAACTATTACACGATCATTTATTATATAAGGCTTTAATCTTTTAAAGCTGTGAACTAGATATAATATACACATCATTGGGTTTTAGTTTGCTATATGAATCTCACAGAAAAATTAGCTCACAGTAACTTGTAAACACATCCAGCTACCACCAGTGTTCTGACATAAATATAAGCACAACGTTTACACTATCTTAAATCTCGAATAATTAGGTGTTTCTAAAATCCCAATTAATGTTTGATATGGAAACAGTCTACTAAAATTGAACCTAATGTGATCTACATTTACCTCATTGTGGTAAAAGGACATCCACAAACAATACACCAAAATTCTACTTCGTCAATTCCAGCAAAAGCGATTTTTAATCCATAAACTGCTTCCAAATATTACGATACCACAACCCTATTACATGTAAATCCTTTCTATATTCAGTGGTGCTCCATGCTTGCAGAATGCATGTAAAGGCATTGCACACTTTACTCTGTGATGTCAAATATCTATTTGGTACACCATCAGTCTCATCAAGGTTGTGATTTAAATGAATTATTTTCACTAGTAGGAAAGATATTGTGTATGAGAGTACTTGATAATACTGGGAAAAAACTCTATCAATCTTGTTTGATTGTATTGTGTACTTTTTTTATTTTGTGTATGAAAGGGCTGAAACTACAGACTTGTGCATAGTAGCATCTGTTTTCTCCAAAACAATGAATGTACAAGTACAGATTGTATGATTTAAGAACTGGAACTTGAAAATTTGAAGATAGTGAAGAGAAGAAATTAAGCCTAAAAGTCCATTGAAACATTACAATTTCTAGCAGAGCAAATACAGATCTCAAAAAACATCAGAGGTGAGTTCAGGTGCCATGGAGGAGTAACCATCCCCTGCTGAACCGGTCACACCTGCTGCATGTCCCCTCCCTGGGTTAAGTACATAAAATATGAAATGTTCCTTTTCATTCCAAGCATTGAATTTACAGTGCAGTTTGGGAATGAAATTAATAGATTCTTGCAATATTGTGTATATCAAGAATAAAGAAAAATGATAGTAAAAGACAGCAGAGAGAGTAAATCGTCTTTCATTACAACAAGGCCTTCAAATAAAGTTTCAATTGACACAATTTCTCTTGTACATCAAATTATTGCTAAGTTCTTTGAACATCAAACATCACTTTAACATCTCATATTTTGCTCATTAACTGCAATGCTCATTAACAAATACATTCTGTTTCAGTTTATAAAGCTACACTTAAAATTTCAGAAATGCAACTCTACATAAATCATAGCACTTGTCCAGTATGTTCATATCCAGCCTGTAGGGATGGGTATCGCCAAAAATTTCATATCGCGATATACATGTATCACGATCCCCCCCCCCCCCCCAATATCACGATAATATCATGATATTTTTACAAACAATTTTAACAATGATTTTTAAATAAAAATTCATATTTTTTTCTTCAAAATATGCTGTAAAGGATAACTTACACTTTTTAAATTTTTTTATTTACATAATATATGGCATGTTTGGATGATGGGATGCCATTCTTCTACCGTTTTCAACATTTTTTTAATACTTCCTGTAATTGTAATTTGAAAGATTGAACAAATAAATGAATGATTTCTTTGAATCCTGAATACCGGTATTTTAGTCTCCGTATCACGCAATTAAAAATCATGATATACCGGTATACCGATAAAATCGCACATCTCTACCAGCCTGTATCAAATACTGACTCCACTCTACATAAATCATAACACTTGTCCAATATGTTCATATCCAGCTTGTATCAAATACCGACTCCACTCTACATTAATCATAATACATGTCCAATATGTTCATATCCAGCTTGTATCAAATACCGACTCCACTCTACATTAATCATAATACATGTCCAATATGTTCATATCCAGTACTGACTCCACTCTACATAAATCATAACACTTGTCCAATATGTTCATATCCAGTACTGACTCCACTCTACATAAATTATAACACTTGTCCAATATGTTCATATCCAGTACTGACTCCACTCTACATAAATTATAACACTTGTCCAATATGTTCATATCCAGTACTGACTCCACTCTACATAAATCATAACACTTGTCCAATATGTTCATATCCAGCTTGTATCAAATACTGAAATCCAGCATTATCTTTAAGTTCTCCAAGTTCATCACAATTTAAAATTGCCCTCAGTTCTGGCATAAATGTCTTTACATCCATTCCTGAATAAAGAAAGTGATAATAAAGGGTTTATAACAATATCACAGAATTTTTTGGGGGGCAAACTTCAATTGTCTATCCGAGATGAAACTGTTGCCTGTTTTGTACATGTATTACCATTAGGAAGTAAAAGTTATTTTTCATGTGATTCCGTGATTTCATAACAAAAGATAGTTATTGTTTCAAGATCAAACACATTTCTACGTAATAACCTACCTTCTTTGTAAGCCAGGTCCACTGTTTTGAAGAACACAGTATTCATGATTGTCTCCATAACATCCACAGAATCATCTTGTTGCCAGCTAAAAAAATATTATAAAACAGGTTTGTGTTTACCTTGTACATGTATTTTGTTAACTGTACGAAAATAAAAACTTAATGCAAAGAAATTTATTGGTTAAAATTAATCTTTATTTCCCTGACAATAAAAACCAAATATGACACAAAATTCCATTCAATGTCTACTAAAGCAAAGTGGAGCTAAAAAATTTAACTACCAAGTATAAGACATCATTAAAGTCTACCTGAGAACTTACCTATCTCTAAGAATAGACTGTGCCCAAATATGCATCCTTAGGCTTTCATAGTCTATTGATGGGTCAGTCTGAAAGAAATAAACTTTACATTCAAATTCTACCATAACAAAGATATACCTGAAAACCATGGGTTTTAATGCATTCTTAAATAAAAAATTATAGGTGCTTTTCTTTTCTACATTTGAATATCTCTGTTAAACCTATTTTAAACCTCCAGTTTGTAATAAGTTTTATATATTGTAGCTTTCATATTCAAATAATGCAACGAGTCTCTTCCAGGATATGTAAATTTTATTGGAAACATAAGCTACAGTAGCTGTTCTTTAAAATCTTTCTGAAATCCTTCAAAGAAAAAGGATTCAAATATCTGAGGCATTTTATACAAAATCACATTCTAACTTGCCTATGTTCTACAATAGACATTGTAATGTTACGGCTCTTGTCTAATAGTATGTATCATAACTAATTCTGTATATTAATTTTAACTTCTTTGTCTATACTCATAATTAAATTTATACATTTACCTTGTCTATGTATTGTAAGAGATCCAGAGCTTTCTTGAAATCATATTCTGTGGCATCAATATTTGTTCCTGAGATGTACAACTGATAAAGAAATTTTAACAATCTTTAGAATACTGTACTAAAAAGTGCTGCAAAACATGCACATCAATTTAGTGATTATCATATTATTATTTCCATGGCTTTTCTTCATTTTTTTCTCGCCATATATTTTTGATGGTCACAAATATAACAAAATTTGAAAGAGCATATAAACAATAATTGGTTTTCAAAAAATGCAAATAAAAGAAAGAAAAAAAAATTACTGAATGTCCAAGACAAAATGAATGCATAGTCATATCCTCTTTTTAATTATATATCAAATAAAAAAACTTTATATGTAATACTTATGATATATATTTACCGAAGTTTCGAAATTTACAGTACTAGCGTTTAATGGTAAGAGTAAAGAAATTTTGAATTTGTATGGTAGAGACCTAAATTCATCAAATACAATGTACTGTAATACTGATATTCTTGGTCTCTGCCCAAAAGAAATTAAGGTGGAAGTCACCACTGATACATACCTCTATCAGTTGCACAGGGGAGAGAACTCTCATATTATTTGGCTCCATACCAAGGTTCTATAATAAAGTTGATTTTGTCAAAATTCAACATTTCTTTATTCCATTTTTTCATTTATTAGAAGACTTAGTGTGGTTTAATTAACGATGTGTAATTAATGTAATTCAACAAAGAAGAAATTAGCAGTACAGTTTTAACCTCTATGACAAGGGCAGGTAACTGCTGCTGATGGGCAATCAGCTCTTGTTCTTCATTGATGTCTGAAATAAATAATTTGGAAAATACACCTAAGCATAAATCGTGGACAATGATATTAATTTTACACTACTTGTACATAAAACAAAAGAACATGGATTTTTAAAATTTCTTTGGCATGTTTAGAACTTTCGCAAATATCATTCTCCTTGAGTTCTCCTTGCAACCTAGGAATTTCTTGTTATAAAAATTTGAATCTGAAATTTGGGGAACTTCGTTTGTAAATGGAAACAAATGTTAATTCATATGTAAACTACTTAGGTTTTAGTAACAATGGTAGATCTACATGTATATGGGTAAAGAATGAATAAGATTGCAACCCCTCTTGATATTAATGAAGAAAGAGATTACAGAACAAGATTTCTGCGAAGATCTTTAAATTGTCAATTTATGCATGTCTTACTCAACCCCTGTGGGTGAAGATAAATGTCTTATAATTCTACAATATACAAATACTAGTAAATAGGAACAAAATTCAATTACCCCTAGAGTGGAAAACACTTCATTACGTACCTAGTATGTTGCTATCTATTTCTCCATTATCTGGGTCAGCTGCAAGTCCGGCCAATTTACTCAGACTCAATAATGTCTACAAAACCAAATGTAAGACTCTTCATACCTAATCATGTATATACAACTTAAGTGTTCCAAAAACAATTCTTCTCAAAAAATCCTATATACAATAAATGTATGTGTTTCAAGAATTAAACCACAGATTACACCGACAACATGTTTAAAAACATGACCATCTACAAAGCTATCTATCTTATAGTCTGGTTTATTAAAATAACACTGATGCTTGGTGGGGGAGGGGGGGGGGGGGACAAAATATTTTTTTTCAAAATACAGCAGTTGTTCTTGATGTACATAATATTGATAACACTATTAGGAGCAACAAAATCTCACCTTTTTCTTTGCCAGAGAGCCCTGCTCCATTTTGCCCAACTCTAAAAGAGTGGTATGGGCCTGAAAATGAAAATAAAATACTTAATTTACCTTCCAATAAAACAAGATGTGTTTGTAAAACACTGATGCCCCATATGGCAGCTCATTGTCAAGGTTAAAGTTTTTCAAAAGTACGTTGAACTCCAAGATCAAGAGGTAAAAAATATTGGTATAAGGTCCTGTCACAAAGAATATGCATGTGAAATATCAACCATTCAGAAGTTATGGCCAAGTTTCAAATTTTCAAAAGTAGGTCATACCCCATGGTAAAGGTCATGAGGTTCAAAAATGTGTACACCCCAAGAAAGGTCTTGACACATAGAACACACAAAGTCGTGTGAAATCTAAAATCCAAAGTGCTAGCACTACATAGGGAAAAGTGGCTTAAATGATATTCATGTGATTATCCTTTTATTTGAGAATTATGTGAAAATCATGTAAAAATTATATAAAAATATTTTTTTCATGCAAATATCATGTGAATAAGTTTGTATGATATTCACATAACTTTTTAAAGAACTTTCATGTGAAGTTTTCTTTGCACGATTTTTATGCAATACGCTCTTCATGTAAAATTCATACATGTATGAAAGTTAGGTCAAAATGGCTTGAAGTTTCACATATATTTCACATTTTATGTTTTTCTATGTCTCTTTCTCATGCAAAGGATTCACACGAAATTCATGTGAATTTCATATAAAATTTATGTAAGCCACTTTTTCCTGTGTAGCTAAATTGTGGCTAAGGTTAAATTTTGGGTTAAATTTTTTTTTAGCAGTAGGTCAAACTCTTAAGTCAAGGTTATAAGGTCATATATGTTGATACCCGAAAAAAGGTCTTGTCAAAATAATACACATATGAAATATGAAAGTCCCAGCACCAAACATTCAAAGTAATGACCAAGATTAAGGTATTTAGTGACAGACAGACAGCTAAACAAATTGCTATAAACAAAGAGGCCAAAAACTGTATACCCCCAATTCTCTAATTATTTGGGCATTAAAAAAATTGCTTTAGTTTTTTCCAGGGAACATCATGATGAGAATCTCTATCTGTATTAGTTAATAACTAAACCTAGGGAAAGTGAGAGGAATTAACACACCCAGAAAAATGTTGAACACAGGATTTCTTTGAATTAATGGCTATGCTAAGGGCTATTCCAGGAAAAATTGTATGGGGGGGTTGGAAGGCACTTTTATTTTTACCCCACCACCCATACATTTTTAATTACCTTCTACCCCACCCCCCATCAGTTTAAAAATGCTTTTGATACAACCACCCATCCAAATTTAAAAAAAAAATTGTATCACATATATAAATATACAATAAAATTTTATGTACTTTTTTCAGGTATTGTAATTTATCTGACTTTGAATGAGTGTTGGGTTTTGACATCTATCCAACCAGGGCCCGTTTTACAAAAGAACTTGTGACTAAGAAAAAAATTTTATTATGCAAATAAATTTCTTTTTTGCATTACTTTAAAAATGTTTTAAATCTTTTTGAAAAAAAAGATAGTTTTATGCCAACAATTTTAACAGAAACATAAATTTTGTAAGATTTTATGAACAACTAAAAATAAAAAAATATATATATTGAATGAATTCTAAATCCCATATAACAACTTAGACCATTGGTGCATACAAGTTCGACAAGTTAACACTTAATAGGTTAAGGACTGGTATGTTTTTGACATAATATATTTCATATTGTTTTCAAACTCATATCTCATCTTCCTTTTACTCTGTGTGTGGTATAAAGTAAAATATTTGACTTGCAAACTCCGTAGTCATGCTCTAAAACGTTCATTATCAGATACGTTTTTTTCTACTTTCGGTTTAAAATAAAACGATCTTTATGATTGTTTCTAATATCATTTAATTTACTAATGTAATTAAGTTTGATTAAACTGGAGAAAAGAAACTGAACCAGGTAGTCCAAAGCACAACGAATCCGTTTTCCAATCCCCCATTGTCATTGCAGTCTCAGTTGCACATGCGTTTATAGTTATCTGCCCTTGTTTCCGTTTTGTTCATTTCTACTTTCACTTTCAATGTAAACACACTTTACAACTGTTTAGGACGAAAATATCGGTATTTACCGATTTATACAAAATGAGACGAAAGAAGAACTTTGCACTTGATTATTTGTGAGGGTAAATACAACCACCCATCTAAAAATATATCGAGTGAGGACAACCACCCATACAAATTTAATTGCTAAAGACCCACTACCCATACAAAAATATATGAAGTGCCGTCCAACCCTCCCATACATTTTTTCCTGGAATAGCCCTAATGAAATTGCTGTCCATATATTATTTACCTTAGAGAAGTTGTTGGTCTGTATATTATGGAGCCAGCTAAGAGATTTAATGTCCTCTTTTTGTAAAAATCTCCCAAGTTCTCTCTGTTGACTAACTGGTAAAGCCAGGAGCTTTCCTCTCTTACCTGTATGTATATAAATACACAAATCATATCAATGTGAACTTTACAACATATACATCATGTACATGTCAAATATTTATACTTTTCTACTGTAAACAGCACAATATTCAAAACAGAATAAATTGCCACATACCTTCTTTCATGTACCATGTATACAGGAAATTTGCAAAACCCTGAAAATATAAGATACATGTTCACATTCTTTATTACATTACAAATATTACAGTTAATATATACCATGAACAAGGATATTTAAAGTATAAAGATACTAAAAATCTTCAAATTTGACAACACTTGTATTTTTCTATCCTGCTTATATAAAGACATACATGCACATGTACAATTAGCTTAATGGAGAATTAATGTAGGTATTACCTTTCTTAACTATTTATAGACATGCATGACCTTATCCCAGAGTAAATATAGATATTTTTCTATCCTGACCATTTATAGACATACCTTAATGGAGAATAGAATTAGGTATTTTCTATCCTATTTATAGACATACATATACCTTAATGGAGAATTGATGGAGATATTTTTCAATCCTGTCTATTTATAGATATACTACAAGTATGGCTGGGAATTGATGCAGGTATTTTTCTGTCCTATTTATATACATATCTAGTAAGAGAACTGATATAGGTATTTTTCTATCCTGTCTATTCATAGACATACTTTGTCAAAGAACTGATGTACATAGTTCTCTGTCCTGTCTCTATTTATAGACATACCTTGTCAGAGAACTGATGTAGATATTTCTCTATCCTGTCTATTTTTATAGACAAACCTTGTCAGAGAACTGATGTAGGTATTTCTCTATTCTGTCTATTTATAGACATACCTTGTCAGAGAACTGATGTAGATATTTCTCTATCCTGTCTGTGTTGTCCGATAACTCACACAGCTGGATCAGGATTTCAAAGTCACAATATTTCTCCGCTAGGGACGCCACTAACTCGTACTGCTTCCCCTCCACTGTTAACAAAGGTTGGTTATTTTAAAAAAAATTATACACATAGTAATACTTGGTGAAATACATGTTCATATACAATTCTCTGGACTCATAACTAGTTTATAAATAATGAACAATTCAAATTAATATGTCAATATCATTGAAAATACATTAATGCTAGTAGATAACAGATATCTTATAGGGATAATAAAATAGAAGGACTGAATAAGACTTAATAACACTTCTTTTGAAGTATACTTATGTGTCCTTTATTCAACACATATTACAAGAAGAACTTACTCAGTGGCATAATCAGTTGTTGTCTGTCCTGTTCGTACCGTCGCTGTAGTTCATTGAAGTGCTGTTGTCTACTGACATTATTTTCTAGGGACTCTAGCTGACTGACGTAACCATCTAAAACAATATCAGCAATGGCTGCCAGCTGTTGGTAAATTCTTTCTTGACCCTCGGGATCTCGGACTTCAGGAATCACGACCTCAATGGTCTTACTGAACTAAAATAAATCAAGGTCAAATAATGGACATTTTCTCACACAGCAGACTACTACAGATTTCTTTTTTTTTGGTTGATGGCTCAATAAAATATTGAAATATTTTGAATTTTTTCACATACAAGGGGCATTTCAAAAGTTCTGGCAACTGGTAAATAAAATTTTAACTACGTTACGGATTAAAATGAATCTGATACCACTGTAAAGCTTAGGCAAATATGCATTAGTAGTGACGTCATTTTACATTCAAAATGACGTATAGGTCTGCTAAAATGACGTCATAATTAGGTATACTCTGTATACTGGGCGTAAAAATGACTGATAAGGAGAACAATTTTTTTGTTGAGCAAAGAGCGTATTGCAAAATTCGCTCATTGCTTGGCTTTACAGCAACAGAAATAAAAGCCGATTTAGATGTAGTATATAGAGAGCATGCTCTTTCATATCAAGCAATAGCAAGATGGGTAGTTCAATTTAAAGAGGATAGAAAATCAATTGAAGATGAACTCCGTTCGGGGCGTCCAGTTTGTGCATATGACGAAAAAGAAATCGTCGCTGTTCAAAATACGATAGCTGATGATGCTAGATATACAGTTGAGGAAATAGCAGACTTAACTAACATTAATTCGTCAGCAGTTTTTCGTATTTTAAAGGAAAACTTAAAGCTTAGGAAAGTCTGTGGTAGATGGGTGCCGCATCTTCTCTCGGAAGAGCAAAAGCGCATCCGGGTAGAGATGGCTTCACAGTTACTAACAATTTATGAAGATTGTGACCAAAGGCGAATAAATGAGATTGTAACTGGTGATGAAACATGGATATATTTTTTTGAACCGGAAACTAAGCTCAATAATAATGTTTGGATTGGTGAAAATGATACAAGGCCTCAAATTGCACGCAGAAACCGGTTTGTCCGGAGAGTAATGTACGCCTTATTTTTTGATTCTAAAGGCCCTGTTGCTCAAGTTCCGGTTCCAGAACACAGCAGTGTTACTGGTCAATTTTATGCAGAGAATGTCTTGTTTCAGGTTGTAGAGCACTATAAAACGACCCGACCAACAACCAATACTAGAGGAATAAAGCTCCTCCATGACAACGCACCTGCCCATAGATCAGAGGTAGTAACCAAATATTTAAAGGAAAATGGTATTGCCATTTTACCACATCCACCCTACAGTCCTGACCTAGCTCTTTGCGATTTTTGGTTGAATGCCGTTATCAAAGAAGCCCTCCAAGGACCGCGATTTGAAAGTCGTCATGCATTCGGAAGTGCCATATTCCAGTGTATGAAGCGTATACCGAAAGAAGACTATAGAGCAGCATTTTCCACGTGGATTTCAAGACTGAAAAAGTGTGTCGAGGTCAACGGAGACTATTTTGAGGGATTGATGTAATTTAATTTATGATAATGACGCTCATTAATTTACCGCGCACCAGTTGCCAGAACTTTTGAAATGCCCCTCGTATATTTACAAAGTATGTGTATACAGGAAACAGTTTTTTTTTAAGATATAATAACAATGAGTAATATTGATAGCTTTAATTCATTATGCTGCCAAATAGTCTATGACCCACATGTGTATCTATATGTAAAATTGTGTGTGTATATATGTGTAAATGTACAATATTTAATGTATATATATGTCAAGTATGCTGCACCCTATATTACAATGATTTGTTATTATATATTACCTCTAGGAATACAAGTAGTTACCTGTTTAACAAGGAATGTCCTGATGCCATGATCTCCACCTGTCGATGTCCATGGTTTGTATTCTGGTACGTCCCCTTGTGGAGCCTCACATTCGTAAATTGAGGATTTGGTTTGACGATACTGTACGGCTTTGTGTAACATTTCCTATAAATTAAGAACAACAGTTACACTGCATAAACAATCTCTGTTAAAAAATTAAAGTAACTAAACTCTTCTTAAAAAGATATTAATTAATTGTGGGATATAAAGTGGGGAAACTTAAAAATACGCTGCCTTGATAGGAGAAAATCCAAATGTTTCTTGTCATTATGAAATTCCAGGGTTAGCCCCCCTGACATACACAGATATATACAATATGTATACTGTAAAAGTCATATGGGGCAAACTAAATAGAATCCATTCATATTTACCTGTAAAATTGTGTTGACTGACGTAATGACCGTGAGAATTTCCGTTACTGTGACGTCAGCCATGAGAACTTCCTCCTGATACGCCAACAAACACTCGACCACTTCCTGTATCCGAGACACCTGGAAAAGTTAACACACAAATAGAAAACAGACAAACAAACACTCAACCACTTACTGTATCCGAGACACCTGTAACAGGTAACACACAAATAGAGAATAGATAGACAAACGAACACTCAACCACTTCCTGTATTCGAGACACTTGTAACAGGTAACACACAAACAGAAAACAGACAGACAAACACGTGACCACTTCCTGTATCCGAGACACCTGTAACAGGTAACACACAAATAGAATACAGAGAGACAAACACGTGACCACTTCCTCTATCTGAGACACCTGTAACAGGTTACACACAAATAGAATACAGAGAGACAAACACTCGACCACTTCCTGTATCCGAGACACCTGTAACAGGTAACACACAAATAGAATACAGAGAGACAAACACTCGACCACTTCCTGTATCCGAGACACCTGTAACAGAAAACAAACAAATAGAAAACAAACATGAAAACAAACAAATAGAAAACAGACAAACAAACATGAAAAGCGGTCACAATTACACACATTTTTTGCCTGAGAGTGTCAAGAAAAATCAAATAACTTAAGAATAACAAATCTCTTGTTAGAGAACATTAAATCATCATTAGATTTTTTCTGCCCTGATATCAACAGTGTACTGGTGTACTGTATTGCCAGACTTACATATCTCTCTGTAAAACAAGTCTTGTGGGGTCTGTTTAGTACATGCCTCTTTGTAAAACAAGTCCTGTGGGGTCAGAATTAGAACATACCTCTCTGTAAAATAAGTCCTGTGGGGTCAGATTTAGGGAAATGTTCACATCTCGTCTCAACTCCAACACTTTTTTAATGGCTGCATCCACTATACCAGTAAATCTACAGAGGCATTAGTATTCATTCAATAACAATATTTATATAATTACAGCATACTTTCTTTTTATACTTCTTGTTTATATAATAACATTAAAGTTGGTTTTAATTCTCAGTATTAGATTGATTGATTGTATGTTGTTTAATGTCCCATTCAAGAATTTTTCACTCATATAGAGATGTCACCATATACTGGTGAAGGGCTTCAAATTTTGACCTTTACTCGGCACTCAGGGCCATTGAGCAGTGAGAGATCTTTATTATGCCAACGTCTGCCATGACACGGGGCCTCGGTTTTTAGGGTCTCATCCGAAGGACCCGCAACTTTCACTTCAAAGTGCCGAGTGCATGGCGAAGGAACAGTTGCTAACCATTTTTTATCGACTTAGGTCAGTCGCGGCTGAGATTCGAACTCACGACCTCCCGATCATGGAGCAAGCGCTCTACCGACTGAGCTACCGTGAGCTACCGTGAACGGTCCTCAGTATTAGAAAAACTACACTTATCAAAATTCCTTCAATGGTTTTTGTCTCATTTAATGTATTATTTTCTGATAATGAAAGATTCCATGTATCAAACAGATAACATACTGCACATGTGAAGTGCATTAGTATTCTATTATTGACTTAGACATCCCTACTTTAAACATCGTGCATTTCCATACCAGTTCCTGATAAAACAACAGTCTGTAGTTTTTCCAGACGTACTGTAAATGTTAATGTACTATGTTTTTTTTATGTAGACATATTCAGTATCTTTTGTGATTTTGTCTCCCCCTTTCTGTGCCACATTTATTTATAGATAATTACTCCCAGCTTATTGGTTCATACATGACATGTCTATTTATAGATACTTACTCCTGGTTTGATTGGTTCACTCTATTTATAGATACTCACTGTCACACATGACATGTCTATTTATAGATACTTACTCCCAGTTTGATTGGTTCACACATGACATGTCTATTTATAGATACTCACTGTTCACGCATGGCATGTCTATTTATAGATACTTACTCCCCATGTAATTGGCGTAGTGCTATGGCTGCCTGTAGTTTTTCTGCATGTTCACACATTACATGTCTTGTCAGCATACGTTTGTCCTGTACCATTACTAGACTCAACTACAATTTATAAGTATTGCTTTTTAAAGAGATCACAAAGCCTAATACTTAGTTGTTATTAAATGTTCTTATGTTGAAAATGGCACAGAATACAAGGAACAATCAATTACCTTGAGACAAAATAAGTTTTACTTGAAGGACTCCTGGTCAAATTAACTCTGTAAACTGACTCTTGTATTCACACACTAACCTGTTCCCAGAGATTCATCTTTTTGAGGAAGTTGATGACGTACTCATGAGCGCGGAGTTTATCAGTCAGCTGATTGATGATAATTAGTGAAGTGGTGCTGCTCGTGGCATCTACAAAAGAAAAAAAAGAGAAAACTTTTCAGATAATGAAGCCATAATTTGTGAGGTTCTATATTTTAGTCACAATAAATAAATTTTGGAGAAGCAGTCTATCAAGGAAAACAAGAGGCCCATGGGCCACATCGCTCACCTGAGCACATTGGCTAGGAAAAAAGCAAAAATCAGTTCAGCATTGAAAAGTTTATGGGGTGGGGGGGTTGAATTTTAAACTACCTAATGATGCTTACATATCAATATAACAAATGGCTTTGCTGTTCTTGAGCAGCAGATTTTTTTTCCCATATATTCATTTGTAAAACTTTGATCCCCCATTGTGGCCCTACCCTACCCCCGAGGGTCATGATTTGAACAAACTTGAATCTACACTACCTGAGGATGCTTCCATATAAATATGACCAATTAGGGCTTGACTGTTCTTAAGAGGAATATTTTTAAAGATATTTTCCTATATATTTCTATGTAAAACTTTGATCCCCCATTTTGGCCCCACCCTACCCCTGGGTGTCATGATTTGAACAGACATGAATCTACACTACCTGAGGATGCTACCATATAAATATGACCAATCATGGCTTTGCTGTTCTTAAGAAGATTTTTAAAGATATTTTCCTATATATTCCTATGTAAAACTTTGATCCCCCATTGTGGCCCCACCCTACCCCCGGGGGTCATGATTTGAACAAATTTGAATCTACACTACCTGAAGATGCTTCCATATAAATATGACCAATCATGGCTTTGCTGTTCTTAAGAAGAAGATTTTTAAAGATATTTTCCTATATATTCCTATGTAAAACTTTGATCCCCCATTGTGGCCCCACCCTACCCCCGGGGGTCATGATTTGAACAAACTTGAATCTACACTACCCGAGGATGCTTCCATATAAATATGACCAATCATGGCTTTGCTGTTCTTAAGAAGAAAATTTTTAAAGATATTTTCCTATATATTCCTATGTAAAACTTTGATCCCCCATTGTGGCCCCATCCTACCCCCGGGGGTCATGATTTGAACAAATTTGAATCTACACTACCTGAGGATGCTTCCATATAAATATGACCAATCATGGCTTTGCTGTTCTTAAGAAGAAGATTTTTAAAGATATTTTCCTATATATTCCTATGTAAAACTTTGATCCCCCATTGTGGCCCCATTCTACCCCCGGGGGTCATGATTTGAACAAACTTGATTTTACACTACCAGAGGATGCTTCCATATAAATATGACCAATCATGGCTTTGCTGTTCTTAAGAAGAAGATTTTTAAAGATATTTTCCTATATATTCCTATGTAAAACTTTGATCCCCCATTGTGGCCCCACCCTACCCCCGGGAGTCATGATTTGAACAAATTTGAATCTACACTACCTGAGGATGCTTCCATATAAATATGATCAATCATGGCTTTGCTGTTCTTAAGAAGAAGATTTTTAAAGATATTTTCCTATATATTTCTATGTAAAACTTTGATCCCCCATTGTGGCCCCACCCTACCCCCGGGGGTCATGATTTGAACAAATTTGAATCTACACTACCTGAGGATGTTTCCACATAAGTTTCATCTTTCCTGGCCCAGTGGTTCTTGAGAAGAAGATTTTTAAATGATGCCATTATTTTTTCACTAATTCCTAATTATCTCCCCTTGAAAGAGGGCGTGGCCCCTCATTTGAACAAACTTGAATCCCCTTTACCCAAGGATGCTTCATGGCAAGTTTGGTTGAAATTGGCCCAGTGGTTCTGGAGAAGAAGTCAAAAATGTGAAAAGTTTACAGACGGACGGACAGACAGACAGACAGACGGACAGACGGACGACGGACAAAATGTGATCAGAAAAGCTCACTTGAGCTTTCAGCTCAGGTGAGCTAAAAACACCATTAAAACTCAACATGTAATGCACAAGCCCTGAGAAATTTTGACCCTATCTTCTGTATAGACCTGACCAGTTGACTTTTAACCTCTCACCTTGTCTAGACTCCGCCCACCGTGGATCCGAGGCTGGAAAATCATCCACTAGATCTTTGTCAAGGGAAACAACTATCTGATCTAAATCTGTGGACACCTCATCAAGGGGAAATAACTCATCAATGGTTGACTGAGCCGCTGCCTGTAAAGTATCGGACGTTACAAAGTAATACAACTTTTACAAAATAAAACAATAATTAATAAAAACAAAATTTGTATTCCCTGAAGATTTCCTATTGCCTTGTTTCACTGTACATTGCAGTTTTCAAAATGATTAACTGCAGTTACAAATATTCATAAAACCAACACTGTGTATAACTAGAGTGCATCATGGAATATACTGTTAATTAACAGAGATATTGCTATTCATACTATATGAAATATGATCCCTTACAAAAGCTCATTGACACACAACCAATATAGTTACATGTAATTGAATTCTTCATTCACTTACAATGTTGCCCCTCATGGTGGCAATAAATGCGGACTTGAGTCGTGCTGTTCTGTCTTCACTCATTGACAACTCCTGCATTTTAGCATGGCTGGCCGTCAAAACTGACTATAAAGACATGAGGACATTCAGCTGTATCCTAGCATAAGTTGACATTTTATGATATAAAGTTGTGAATTACTGTTAACATGGAGAATTTTTACAAAATTAGCAAATTCCCAGTAAGAAAGCATATTTTGGATCGGGGTTATTATTTTAGAAATTAAAGAATTCACAAATTGCATTAGTTTATTGTTTTAGTTTGTTGTTTGAGTTTGTTGTTTTAGTGTGTTGTTTTAGTTTGTTGTTTTAGTTTGTTGGTTACAAGAGTATAAATGATCACCATGTCCATTGTGGTGAGGTCTTGTGACAGCTCCTCCATAATACTGGAAAATATTTATAGATCATAATAAACTGAGGCAGAGAAATCTTCATACATACAAAGAACAGGGGTTTAGACATTCTATGATTCTGAGAAATTCATGAAGGACTGATAAGTTGAATATTATGAGGATAAAAATACTGTAGATTCCTAAATATATGCGAGGAATTAATTATCACTGTAAATATTTATACATTGTTATTAAACTACTTTCATTTATGGTTTTATCATCTTGATGCAGAGAAATTTTCAACAATACAAAGAACCAAATTTTTGACATTTTATAACTCAGAGAAATTGATGGAGGACTGATAAATTGAGTATTAGGGTAAACAGAATAATTTTACAACTATTTGAGAAATTTCAAAAATCTGATTTTTCAAATGGAATACCTTTTAATTTTTAATGTCACGCAGTTGAAACCCCTCTTTCCGAAGATTAAATATGTTTGTGAGGGGAATAGATTAAATCATGGCAAATTAAAAGGTTTGATATGGCATACATAAATGCAAATTGAAAAGCCCTTTAAGTGTCCTAGAGGTACATGTACTAAATAATTTCAATTTAACCCCTCACCTGACTTCCTGCTTCTGCGGAGCACTGATGGAAAAAAGTCCCACACTTCCCGAGAAGAAAACTCCGACTCCATCACAAGATCCTAGGAAAAATATAACAAATATGTGGGTACATATATAGAATAAACAATATTTGTAGTTCTGATTCCATTACACGAACATGTATCCCTGCACATATCAACATGTATCCCTGCACATATCAACATGTATCCCTGCACATATCAACGTGTATCCCTGCACATATCAACAAATTTCAAGTTTTTCAATAATCAAAAATTTGTAAATTTTTCCTCATTATGTTTCCTAATAACAAGTCTTAGCTTTTCAATTTGTAAAAAATTGAACCTCAATCAAACAAGAGGCCCATGGGCCTTGAATCGCTCTTCTGATAAACTGTACAACCTATCACTTCTATTTGAAGCCACGAAGTATCCTGTATATTTACATAAACCCTTGAAATTCCAATTCACACTCTGAGAACCCAAGATGATTCTAAGCCAATTAGTACCTGAGAGTTGGTCATGGTGACCTTCATATCACTTGTCATTCTCTGAGGACCCATCAACTAAGTTTGATGATTCTAAGCCAATTAATACCTAAAATATTTTCTAAAATAATAATCATAAAATTTTATAAGTAGGTCAAAGTGACCTACTTTTCAATTGTTTTACTCCAAGGACCCAAGATGCATCAACTGACAAAGTTTGATGATTCTAAGCCAATTAGTACCTGAAATATTTAATTAAAGCCATAAATTTTCAAAAGTAGGTCACCGTGACCCAAGACCCAAGATGCATCAACTGACAAAGTTTGATGATTCTAAGCCAATTAGTACCCGAAATATTTTATTAAAGCCATAAATTTTCCGAAAGTAGGTCACGGTGACCTACTTTTTAGTCAACCTACTCCGAAGACCCATGACGCATCAACTGACAAAGTTTGATGATTCTAAGCCAATTAGTACCCAAAATATTTAATTAAAGCCATAAATTTTCAAAAGTAGGTCACGGTGACCTACTTTTTAGTCGATCTACTCTGAAGACCCAAGATGCATCAACTGACAAAGTTTGATGATTCTAAGCCAATTAGTACCCGAAATATTTAATTAACGCCATAAATTTTCAAAAGTAGGTCACTGTGACCTACTTTTTAGTCGACCTACTCCGAAGACCCAAGATGCATCAACTGACAAAGTTTGATGATTCTAAGCCAATAAGTACCTGAAATATTTAATTATAGTCATATAAATTGAAAAGTAGGTCACAGTGACCTACTTTTCAGTTGACCTTTTTTGAGGACCCAAGATGCATCAACTTTCAAAGTTTTATGATCATAAGACTTAAAATGTCCAAATTATGCCTCTAAAACGCTTTCAAATCGAATGCCTGTAAAGTTCAAAAAGTAGGTCACTGTGACCTACTTTTTAATAAATATGTATTATGGCCCCAAGATACATCATCTTACAAGATTTAATGATTCTAAGCCTCCCCGTATTCGAATTAATGACCTTAATTGTTTTAAAAAAGATTAGCCATAAAATTCAAAAAGTAGGTCAAGGTGACCTACTTTTTAGTTGACGTACTTTGAGGACCCAAGATGCATCAACTGACAAAGTTTGATGATCATAGGCCTTAAATTATTCAAAATATGCCTCTAAATCATTTTGAAAAAGAATGGCCGCAAAATTTAAAAAGTAGGTCACCGTGACCTACTTTTGAGTCAACATGATATGAGGTCCTTAGATGCACCAACTGACAAGATTTGATGATCCTAGTCCTTATAGTAAGCAAAATATCAACATTTTAATAAAATGTAATTTTTGGTCAACTTTGAAGTGACCTTGAGACCACGCCCTTTGCCCCAGGGTAAATCCCCGTGCAAATTTTAATCTACAACATATCCTCATCCTTTTGTGTAAGTTTGGTGATAATCTGCCCACTGGTTCTTGAGAAGAAGATTTTTTAGCAACCAGTACTTTTGTTTCTATTTACCTAATTATCTCCCCTTGTTAAAGGGTCACAGCCCCAGTTTTAGTATAAAAGGGAGCCCTTGGGCCAAGGATACCCTGTGACAAATTTGACAATAATTGGCCAAGGGGTTCTTGAGTTATGGCCCATATTCTAAAAAGTTTACGCACACCGCACAAATGGCCATAGCATTAGCTCTTTGAGCCTTTTGCTCAGAAGAGCTAAAAATGCTGTGGGTCAACGTTGACTGAACTAGGCCTAGTGGTTTTTGAGAAACTTAGAGGCTTTGTCTAAGATGAACTGTTAACTTGTCTTACCTGCCCCCAGGATGTGACCCCCTGGTTGTTGTAGATTAACAACTTCATTGGAGGGACCTAAAATATAAAATGCCTGTAAAAACTCTTTTTAAAAGGATGTAACATCCAGGGAAAATATGACTTCTAACACCATAAGATTGTATTTTTTTCAAACCAAAAATGATTACAGTCAAACCTTTATATTTCAAACAATGAAGAACTGTCAGTAAAACTTCAAGATATATATCCATGGGATTGAGATATCAAGGTTGAAACAAAACTGGGACCATTTGCAAACCTTGACATACACCGGACATATTCAATACATCAGTAATTATATTCTGGATAGGAAGTTCACCTGAATGTCTACATTGTGGAGTGCTATTTTTACCTGGTACAAACAGAATCTGGTCCCTGTTGTAGATGTAGGCTGTGGTTGTTGTAGGATCAGCTAACAACAGTTTATATTTCTGAAGACTGTACTCAAAATCATCCTGTCCAGTGATATGAAATAAAACAAACTTCTATTTTTCTGATTTATCTCGCACTGCAATGGATTCATTACTTTTCCAGAAAACTGTACATTTAACTTGTTTGAGCTTGTTAAATGCAAAAACATCGTTAGGTTCAGAAATACACAATTTAGTAGATCGCCAAAGGTTAAAGTATATACTTTAAGTTATGGTTCTATCATCTATCAGAAACCCTTTGTTAGTAATGATGTGGTTATATATATAGATTTTTACCAATATAGCGTTCGAAAAACAATATATGAAAATACTGTTGCTTGATAAAACTAAAATTGTTTTACCGAGTATGTGTCCTTATATTCCAGAATCATCAAGCTCTCTAATTCACTCGGAGTTCCATTTATATCCGTATCCAAGAAAGCTAAAATAAACAAAGCATTTTTTTTCAACTAAAAGACAGGTACCAGAGTCTACCACATCTGTTTCAGATTTAAAGGTTTACCTAAGCATATACTTATCAATTAGTCACTGTCTTAAAGACTCTCTCAAACACAGAAACCTTGTTCTTCTTATCAGATACAAATAATTAACAAAATTATTCTAATACCTGGATAATATAAATAAAATAATTTAGATACTTTGAGTGACTCAGCTGATTTAATTAAGACTCCAAATTATTAAGTTGTTAAATATATGTCTTTAAGAAGGTTATTTAGTGAAATCAATCCATAGAGGGTTGTTGTTTTTATATATAATCTTTGGTGTTGTAGGATGGGGGGGGGGGGGGGGGGGGAGGGGGGGGTTAGAATGCTAGTAATATATCATCATCTTTCAGTGACCAGTTTTCTTTGAATTTCTTATATTACAAGATGTACACCATGCTGAGAGAATTTCACTAAATCATAACTTTTACTGTCTATATTTTATAATCAAATACCAAAAGGTGTGAAACTTGCCAGGGTAAACAAAGCAAAATATAAGTGCTGAGACTTAAATCTCCGCTATATATACACCAGGAAGTATAAATACCTGACAGGTAGATAACACAGGTAAACAGGTCATGTGATCTGAACACATAACAACACATATTTTCTCGGCAGCCATTACTGTCTTAGAAATCAGGTAACATTAATTAAACATTTTGATATAAGATATTTTTACCTTGATAACAGTAAATTTAGGTTTCCCATAGGTATTTTGTTACCAGTAAGATTTTGAAAAAAAGTAGAATTTTAAATGTCCATGATAAAGAATGAGTTAAATGTAGTCCAGGCACATAACATCGATTTAGAGAGGGGTATTATAACAGAAAAAAGAATGTCAAGTTACCTATAAAATGTTTGAAGAGCTCCTCACCCCCATGAAAAAGGTGAATTCTCCAAACTCTCATATCTTATTCTGGGGAAAGGGAGGGTTCAGTAATTTAGGATGGATTTTTTTTACTAGACTGTATCAAAAAAGGGGGAACCAGATTTCAATGAACATTTTCAAACTCACATTTATAGTAAAAAAAATTTAGGTTCAGGAAAAATGGGGGGGGGGGGATCACCATAAGATAAATACTCTTTGCATGCAACCAAACAATTCGCTTGATGTAAAGATATCCTTGAGGAAACAAGTTAATTCTATGAATAATTTTTTTAATTATTTTTTTTGATTTGTTAATTACCAACTTATCACTACCCAAAAGCCTTATTAGCTTTATACTTTAGAGTTATATAGGATATAACCATGGACCCCCGAACCAGAGCCCAGGACGTGATGCGATGTGATCTGTGTGAGACTGCTGTGGTACAGATGCACTGTGATACATGTCTTGTCAACCTGTGTACAGCTTGTGTAGGAAAACACATGATATCTGATGAATCCATGGACCACAAAGTCGTCAAATTTCAGTTTAGGAAATCCACTCCCCTCTACCCTGGATGTAAATCTCACAATAAACAACAATGTACAATGTATTGTAATCAATGTGACATTCCTGTTTGTACAAAGTGCCTTGCATCTGATCAACATCTAGGTCATAAGTTATCTGAAGTCTTACAAGTTATGGATGAAAAAAAGGAAAAAAATATCAAAGAACTAACTGAATTAAAAGCGACAATATATCCAACCTACCAGGACATTGCCTCTGATGTACAAAACAGAATGAGTCAGTTAGAAAAGGAATATGGAGATCTCTCAACAGCCATAACAAAACACGGAGAGGACTGGCACAGAGAAATTGACAAACTTGTCAAGACATTTAAAGCTGAAGTTGATGAGATGAAAAACACACAGTTACAAACTCTACAGAAACATCTGGATGAAATAAACAAGAAAATGTCTGACATCAAGGATGAAATCAATTCAGTTGAAATGGCTATAGACACTAATGACTTGTCAAAACTGTTTAGTATAACATCACATGTATATATATACAGAAACCTTCCACAAAAACTAGCACCATCTTTATCGAAATTCATTCCAGAAAAAATTCAAGGACTGTTTGGAACTTTAACTTCAAGTTCTTTAACTTCAGATAAACATGGCTACAGCATGAAGACAACACAAAAATCACCAGAAGCTGGATCCTCTCCTCCAGTCAAACAGCTGCTTGATGAACCAGAGACTGTCACCACCATAGCCACTGAGTATAATGAATACCTTTACAATGTGGCCTATCTAAGTGATGAAGAAATCTGGACAAGTGGACGTGACAACACCATGAAACTCTACAGCATCAATCAGGGATCACAACTCAAGTCAATCCCAACCAAGTCAGGGAAAATGCCATATGACATAGCAGTGACAAAAAGAGGAGATCTACTTTATACTGATTACTGGGATAGAACTGTGAATATTGTGAAGAATAAGAAGATAGAGGGGGTGATCAGACTACAGAACTGGATACCTTACAATGTCTGTAGTACCTCCTCTGGTGACCTCCTGGTTATCATGGACAGTGATGATTACACACAAACAAAAGTTGTCTGTTACTCTGGCTCCACAGAGAAACAAACCATTCAGTTTGATGATAAAGGTAAACCTCTCTACTCATCTGGTTATCATGTCAGATACATAACAGAGAACAGGAACCTGGATATCTGTGTGTCTGACAGTGGATCTAAAGCAGCAGTGGTGGTCAATCAGGCCGGGAAACTGAGATTCAGGTACACTGGACATACTCCTGCTCCAAAGAACCAACCATTCAGTCCAGTAGGAATCACCACAGACAGTCAGAGTCACATCCTTACAGCTGATGATTACAATGACTGTGTCCACATCATAGACCAGGATGGACAGTTCCTCTGTTACATAGACTGTGGACTGAGTGCACCCTGCGGACTGTGTACAGATACAAATGACAATCTGTTTGTTGCTCAAAGATTTAACAAAAAGGTGAAGAAAATTAAATACATGCATTGATTTTAGGGCTGTGTATTGAGCAAATAAAACCAATATGATACAGTACAATATGATAACTTAAAAGCCACTATGTAGTATATCAATGCTTTTTAATTAGTTGTATTTAATAACTCCTTATTTACAGCTAATAACAAAAATGTTGATTAAAATATCATCAGAGTACATTTGTAGTTACGTGGTTTTATTAAATTGATACATGTAGCAATTTTGCATAGTACATGTACAATGACTGTAACGAGATCAAATGTAAACTTGATACAGAATAGCTAGTGTGCTACTGTAATTATATATTCTAGTATACATGGTATATAATTCTGCTTAAGTATTTTAATGCAAACAATTAGTAAATTAATTGAATTTCTTTTGTACTCTTCTACAAACAATTCTTAAAAAGGAAAACTGAATGAAACAACAGCACCAATATCTTTTGGAAGTTCAAATGACAAAAAATATCTATATGTATCGATATCCTGATTAAACTCTGAATATTTACATTTAGTGTAAATTTCTTTATGAAATCCATTGGAAATCTACAATATTCAATACCTTATAACACACACAAAACCTTTTCACTGTGCATTAGAATACACAGTTGGAACTAAATGCATTTTCAAAGAAAAATCATTGAGTGTGGGCAATTTAGATGGGTCGGTCAGAATACATGAAACAGTTGGCCTTATTTTGTGTATTTATAGCAATATTTGGTTTATTTCATTCTTGTTAAAACACTTAAAGTACTGCCACTATTCATGATTAATTCATAAAGTCTATCTTACCCAGTCCAAAGTGTACAGTCAGGTCGACATCCATATTGACACCTGCACCAAGAAACACAACCCCCTGTCTGAAAAAGAATATATAGAAAGCAATCAGCATGTCTTAACAAGGGACACCAACACCCAGGTATATATATTTACCTGGAAAAAGAATAAAAAGAGAACAGTCAACATTATGTCAGCAAGAGGCCCATCATGGTCACCTCATCATCATGAGTTTCTCGAGCTATGGAACTCGTGACAAAATCTTACTGTTTGTTGAGAACTATATCAAAAAACATGCTCATATTCAAGCAGCTTGTTTTCCAGAAGTTAAAAGGTAAAGAAAATGAGGTTAACAATAAAATATTTTAAATTCCAATGTAAGACCAATTTAGTCCCATCTTGAAGCTAATCCCTAAACTAGGGGGACAAGAATTTAAACAAAAAAACATCAGAACCCCCTGAAGGCCATAATTATCACAACTTAAATTTGTGGTCACAATCTTGACAGAGGTTTCAATGCTTATCATAATCAAGACATCAGTTTGACTACTTGATGTTCACAAGTAAATGTTTTTAATGATTTCATTAATTTTGATCATTTTGGCCCCATCCTAAGCCCCAGGGAGTTAGAGTCCATGAAATTCAAAATTTAGGTTCCCCTTTACCCTAAAATACTTTAAGTAAAACACAGTTATAGCAAACATTAATACAGAAGTATCCTCAGGTAGTGTAGATTCAAGTTTGTTCAAATCATGACCCTTGGGGGTAGGGCGGGGCCACAACAGTGGGTCACGGTTTACATATGAATATATAGGTGAAATGGGTAAGGGACATTGGAGTAAAACGCATTAAAGACTTCAAATAGTGGATGACCTGACAACCCTTGGAATGGACTAGCCTAAGGGTATATAAGGCAAAGCTTTGGGAAAGTCGGGCATACAGAAGGTAGCTGAAGAAGTTAAGGTATTCCATCCTAATAAAAGATTCAATGAAATTGAATACATAACAGATGTGTAGGTGTTGAATACTCAGTATATTCAGGGCTAGAAATAATCATTTATGTTTACTGATCACTCGGGCTATCAGCTTAAATTTTTACTTTTAAAAAATAATTTTTTTTTTTTATATTGACGTGATACTTAGAAGTACAACTTAACAAAACAAGAAACAGCAGAAGTTGGGACACACAACCCTGTCAAGTTAACTAGCCCGACTGTGAATGAATTTTATTATGCATAAAAAAATGCTGACCCAAAGGGCACATGCCCTCTGCAATGTACAAGCCCAGATTGAAAATTCACTGCCCAAGACAAGCGGGCCATCAATTATATCAAGCCCTGATATTTAGACAGAATTCCCATTTATTACTATTAGCATGTAAGGGTGGGATGTGTCCTAATTTATGACCTTGAATTTTGGTAAGAGTTATCTCCCTCTGTTTTTAATTTAAAAAAAAAATTAAAAATCTTACCTGGTAAAAAAATTCTATTTCTAATGTGTTTAAGTGCATTTTTTCACTACAGTATTTATAGATTCTTATTATTTGAATTTTTATTTTTTAAAAATTGCTCCATAGACTTCAATGCAATCTTTGTTAAGTACTTAAGTTCTGGGTGTAGTAAATCCGAAGAAGATTGAGACAACTGGTTCTTATCTATCAATGGGAACCTAGGGGAGAAACATGGTGCAAGTAGTACCTCACCCAGTCCCCATCTCTAGATGAAAGAGAAAATTTAAGTACTATGTGATATACCCTGAGACATAGCTGTCCAATCATCAACTCAGACGGAGTAAAAGGAAAACCTATATATCCCTTTTAAGAATCTGATCATACAAGTTACATAGGAAATATCTTTGAAATCTTCTTCTCAAGAACAACTAAGCCATTATTGGTCATATATATACAGAATTAACCTTAGGTATTGTAGAATCAAGTTTGTTCCAACCAAGGTCTCCCTGGGGTTGGGGCACAATAGAGGGTCAAAGTTTTGCATAAGAATATATAGGAATCATCTTGAAAAAATCTGCTGCTCAAGTACAGCAAAGCCATGATTAGTCATATTATTATAGGAGCATCCACAGGTAGTGTATATTCAAATTTGTTCAAATTTACGGTGGGTAGGGTGGGGCCACAATGACCAATCAGAGTTTTACATAGGAATACACAGGAAAAAAATCTTTAAAATTTTTCTGTTTAAGAACAGCAAAGCCATGATTCGTAATATTGATACAGAAGCATCCAGAGGTAGTGTAAATTTAAGCCCCCCCTTAAAACTTTTCAATATACTGAACTGATTTCTGCTTCTTCCTAGCCAGCATGCTCAGATGAGCAATGTGGCCCATGGGTCTCTTGTGATAAATATGTTTAAAGACCCCAAGCTGCATCAACTTACAAGGTTTGATGATTCTAAACCTCACAGTAATCTTCAACATATCCTCATCCTTGTGTGTAAGTTAGGAGAAAATCTGCCCAGTGGTTCTTGAGAAGATTTTTTAGCAACCAGTACTTTTGGTTATATTTCCCCAATTAGGCCAAAATAAAAAATACCTTTGTTTCCCCTAATGCGACCGACCCAATTAAATCGTGCAGACTGAAAAGTTTTTTTAAGAAGATTATTCAAATATTTTTTTTTATTGTTTATCAACTTTATAAAATACAATTTCATCATTATCCGTTTTTATCAGAACGGTAGCTTTTGTTTTATTCTCATTTGGCACCCACAACATGTGGCCACAGAGGGTTAGTTTGTGTTACAAAACAACGGTGATGTATCAGTCTTATTATATATCATTAACTTATTAGAATCCTACACTCTTGAAACATTTCGTGAATTAAATATACCATGACTAAGGAATGGTAAGATGGTATTTACAAATATTATACTTTTATGTAAATTAGTTGAATCTGATTGGTCGAGAAACATTTGTTAAAAAACACTATTACTCGCTGAATAACGAAGCCACACCCTCCAGCGTAGCAACAGTCAATATTGCTTGACGACGGGTGATATTCCAAAAAATAGTGACTGTGCAGAGTTTATGTGCGTAAGGTTCACTGTTATATGTATTTGTATAAAACATTAAGTATAATATAAAAAATATTGCATGTAGTTGAGTGTAACATTTAAAATTTTCACCCCTCGAAACCCATTGTCATTCTCGGTTGCCCCTTGGTTGACATTGGTTTTCTTGGGTTGAAAATTTTCAACTACATGCAATATTTATATAATGGGTCCTTTAAAATTAACGTACAGCATGTACGTAGTAAGCATGGCAAAGCCTGCCTCATGAGCAGATGAGGGGCCCATCTTGCATATTCATATCAATAATTTTCACTATATTTCATTCGAATTTCATTCGTTTTGATCTAATAAACAGTTCAAGTACTTTTACTATATAGGACCAGAGGAGTTGTAAATATGTCTTTGTATAATTATTTCATCTTGATAAATAGAATTCAAATGTCGTTTCTTCATTCCTTTCATTTATCAGTTTATAGGGTAAACTTCGTGACTATAACATTAGATACATGTATCTGAAACTTTAATTATTTTAGATATGGTTTGGTTGAATTAAATATTGTTTATACATGTACACTCTTTCCAAATAGTGTTGAAGTCCTTAAAGTTGACTTATGGTATGGCTTCCCGAGACGTCCAGTGTACTTTTCTTTAGTTAGGCCCTTGAAAATAGGTTGTTTCCGACAACATTTAAACATTTGCCTGGTGGAGGGCTCCAAATTTAGACTTTTACTTGGCACCTATGGCCATTGATCCTTAAGAATCAGTAAGGGATCTTTTTCATGCCATCATCTACATATATACTGCGACACACTAAACCTGAACCTAAATTACGTCGTGACTCCAAAATAAGCTTCTAAATTACGTCCTGACTCCAAAACAAAACACTAGAATCACTGCACCACATGAGGCCCTTGGCAATTTTTCTGTACTCGAAGATGATAGTAGGTTTGAAAAATATACTCGGATGTCCGATGGTTGAGTATTTGTGAATCTTGTCTTTTTGTAAATATTCGTCGCTTTCAATAAATTTACTCTAGCCTGAAATATTTCACAAGTTCAAATGAATAATATTTGTAAATTAATTTACCATACACGTTGCTTCATTTGTATGATATTCGGTTTAAAAATCGGTTTCTTTTGCTCTTTCTTATTTATAAAGATACATGTATTATTCAATTTTTCAGAATATATTTTCAAAACTGCTGTCAAAAAAAAATAATTTACCTACCTACCTACCCAACTTGAGATTTTAGGGTCGGGTTAGGGGAAACAAAGATATTTTTAATGATGGCCTTATCTCCCCTTGTTTAAGGGGCACATATCCCTAGTTTTAGTACAAATGAAAGCCCTTGGGCCAAGGATACTCTGTGGCAAATTTGACAAAAAATTGGCCAAGAGGTTCTTGAGATATGGCCCATTTTCCAAAAAGGTTATGCACACCGCACAAATGGCCATAGCATTAGCTCTTTGAGCCTTTGGCTAACAAGAGCTAAAAATACTGGGGCCAGGAATGGTTGCTATGGAATTCAAAAGTAAGAAACCAACATAAAGTTACTACTTCTTATAAGAAGACTCATGAGAAACTTCCAACTTACTGTGTGGGCTGCATGTCCAACAACCAGGTCTTCAGCTGCGTCAGCTGTCGTGAGTCCTGGTTCTAAACAACATATAAACTGTATTTAAAGTATTGCATATAACTCTATTTCTTTTTTACAAGAAATGAATTTTTGTTTCCAGTAATGAAACTGACCCAATGGGCTTTGTTCATTGTATATATTTATCTATCAGCTTTTACTATTTCAACATTAAAACCAGCTTTTCTAAGCTACATGAAATATAAAGATAACAAACAGTAATCAAGCACAAAAGTCCTTTGTAATAAAAAGTCATACAATAAGTAACTATAAAAGATAGAATATGTAAACAAGAGAAACTTTCTTTGTCACAGCAAGCAAGAAAACAGGACAGATACCTAATAATGTATACATTGTAGTTTATTAGCACCTTACCCAAACTTTTTTGGACAGGAACTCTCTAAACATCCTCTCTACATCAATCTGATAGAAAAGCTGTAAAAAAATAAATTTCAAAAAATTACATAACATCAATATGCATCTATACTGTTCACCATATTTTATGCATCCGTATTATATTTTTTTATTTTTGTGAATAGCTAATGAAAAACAGAGATATATCTAATCGAACTTCCATCTTTTAAAGCTAGGGACTGGATCTCTCATATGCAAATGCATGTAAAAGTTTATTTATAGTACTTATTAATAAAACTTTTTTTTTTACTTAACCTGTTCTTGTACAGTAAAACATGCTTATCACTCCAGATTTTATATTACGATTTTTCATAATAAAAGAATATGAAAAGAAATTTACGGGAGTAGCAGTAATTTTCCTGTATAGTTTGAAGTTGATCCAGTACTTTTTAACTGTTTTATTATACTGATACAAGAGTAAAAAGTAAAGAAGATTACAGATAACTGGGAATTAGCTTTTGGAGTGGGGATTAGCTCACTTGACTAATGCACGGGGATTAGTCCATTAACATATAATACCTATACAAAAGTAAATCTAGAGGATTACAGATAACCGGGAATTAGCTTCCGTTCACAGCGATTTCTAGGGAATTATTCACATCTAATGATCTAATTTTTATATAGTGAAAAATCAGAAGAGGTATAATAATGTTTGATATGAAAACTGTCTAAAAAGGAACCTTTTCTATGACGGGCTGAGAGATGACCCATTTCTGGAACTGTGTCCCAGATAAAACATAAAATGGCCGCTCATCTTCATCCTCACATTTCCCACACACAACAGCCTGCAATGGCTACAAATGAACATGTACTGTCAATAAAAATAGGTAGCTCAGATTTAGGAGTAATTCAATCCAAATACAGTTATTTAAATTTGCTTTTATCTCACTTATCTTGTTCCCTTGCTTTCATGTAACTAATATTGTTACATTGAACTTATAGCATGATTTGTGTACATAATCAAATCATCTAAAAGCAGTTCCCTGTTCATATGGTTGGTTAAATCAGCCTTATTTTCCCTTGACAGATAGCTGTATAAATTTATTTAATCAAACCAGACTTACTGCCCCTGATGGTTCACTGTATATGTTGTTTAGTATAAAGACTTACTGCTCCTGATGGTTGTAAGGTAGACGCCCCGAATATGAAGGATGACATTCGTCTCCCGATTCCTGAAAACATTCCTTGTGATCCCTTCAGAGCATGGCAGGTCAACGTATTCTACAAGACAGAGATATTATAAGTTATCCGGGTTCAGTCAAGGGTGTATAGTGATTCACCCCAGGTTTTATTCCCTACACCCTGAAGCAGCAGCAACATTTACAGCATATCAGAGTATCTGGAAATTTTATTCTAAGATTACTGCAAATATATTACTTAATGGTTTCGAGATGAACCTGAAAATGATCAGATATACATCATTAGGGGTGTGTAAATCTTTATGAATTATCTGGACAAGAAAATAAATTTGACTTACCTCCCCTGACTCTAGAGAGGTGTGTACCTGGACAATGTTGTAAATTTTGACTTACCTGGACAATGTTGTAAATTTTGACTTACCTGGCCTGACACTGGAGACAGGAGAACAAGGGAACTTGTGGTGGTGGCCAGCAGGCATCCAAACGGCTAAAATTAAATGTGTCTTATAAATTACAGATTTTTCTCTTCTTGACTATAACAAAAGGTTAGTGTTTATAACGTATCTTTTATAGACAAAAAGGCTTCACATCTAAAGCATTAAAAAAGAATCTTCATTCACAAAATCCCCAGGAAGATTTACCTCAAAGTTAACGACACTAGCACACTCATCTCCTCTGAGCTCTGCACTGATTTCTGTGGAGGAACCTTCGTAGGCGATGTTCGGCCAGTATCTGACGACGCCCTCTGGTGACACAGCGATACAGGAAGCGGACTGTTTGTCCGTATGGCTGGGGATGACACAGACTCGGTCAGCATTGTGTGCAAGGTCACTTGGTGGTAAGGTCAATTCTTTACAGAATATGGTCTAAAATAAACATTGAACTTCCTACGTAAAATTAAAAAGCAAACTTTGAATCTTGATTTATCAAGTAAGTAAGACATAAAAAGAAAAAAAATCCTCTTATATTTTATCACTATAGTGAGAGGAATAATTACTCAACAATGACTTCTTGAAAAATGCTTAAATTCATAGAAAGATTAGTAAATGACATTTTTTACCCTAGCACTCTGTCCTCCCTTGTACCTCCAGACAAATAGCTTCCTCCCCCCTACAAGCCACGCCCATCCTGAGGGGTCAACCTTCACTGTTATCTCTGTATGTTCTGAAAAATAATCAGCAAGTCATGCATGATCATTGTGCTGGCTTAAAAGTATCACTATAAGAAATGTTTTATGCAATGGAGTTCTAAACTTCAATATCAGCAACATGTGCAAAACACTTATCAAAACATAGGTAATCAAAGATTACGAAGCTCACCTCGACGAATGTTATCTTTAAGTAGGGCACATTTCACAGCATATTTTTTTTTTTATGTAGTATACATCCCAAGATCAATATCTATGCAAGTTTGGTTTAAGTACGACTTATAGTTATTTGGAAATAGACCTGTTCAAAAAATGTTTATCCTGTTTACAAATCAAGAAAATTTTGGTCAGTTCCAACATCCGAAGTAAGTCTGGAAGTTTTCATCTTTAGATGCACCATCTATGCAAGTTTAATCACAACAGACCATAATGTTATATAGCTACTCTAAAATAATTATCCTGGTCACTCATCTAGAAAATGTAGGTCAGATTCAGAATCCAAAGCAAGTCTTGAAGTGACTATCCCTAGCTACATCATCCATGCTAATTTGGTTAAAATATCGCTAAAATTCACTCATCTGGAAAATCTAGGTCAGATCCAGCATCCGAAGCACGTTGGTTAGCATACATCCCTAGATGCATCATCCATGTCCGTTTGGTCCAGGTAGGGCTTATAGTTACTTGGGAATGGACCTGCTCCAAAAACTTTAACCTGATCACTCAACTGGAAAATGTAGGTCAGATCCAGCATCCGAAGCAAGTGTGGTAGTGTCCATCCCTAGATGTTTGTTCAAGGTAGGGCTTATATTTACTTGGGAATGAATTTGCTCCAAAAACTTTAACCTGGTCACTAAACAGGAAAATCTAGGTCAGATCCAGCATCCGAAGCAAGTGTGGTAGTGTCCATCCCTGGATGCATCATCCATGCAAGTTTGGTCTAGGTAGGGCTTATAGTTACTTGGGAATGGACTTGCTCCTAAAACTTTAACCGGGACGCCGACGCCGGGGGTATAGCATAAGCTCATCTCGACTTCGTCGAGGTGAGCAAAAAATGTACTTGCTAGCAGTGTAGACTATTTTTTTTCTTCTTAAATCAAGTGATTCTACTAAACAATCCTTTAAAAAATTATAACATTTGGTGAAAATTTACTGATCTCTGATAGGTCAACAGGACTTTCATACCATGGTCATGAACGAAATCCAAGCTGAATACACACAGTAGACTACTATATCTGTAGTGTATGATGAATAATGAATGTGACAAATTTATAACTGTTACATGTATTTTCTTTCCCAGATTCCTCATTTTCTGTCTGCCAGGGCCAGGGCTACATTGATTAGGAGAGCGGTCTCAAACCCCTCATTGCTGTACCTTTATTGTCCAGTGTAACACTTACTGTCTGCCAGCATAGAATTTCATGAAATACCACTTGAATAAATTTTTTTTCAGTTTTGGGACATGAAATTCCCAATTTTTGTTTTCCAAAACTAAAAAAAATCTTTAGGATCGGGTGCAGAAATATAGTGTCAGTCGGGTAGCAGGAAACAAGACTATTATTTTTTTTGGCCTTACTGTCTGCCAGCGCTAGGGCTTCAGTGATGAGGACAGGGAGAGGAGTCCCAAACCCCTCGATTCTGTACCCCTCTGTCTCCTCAATCAGCTGGGAGGTCTGAAGAGATCTGTTGGAATGGGCTCTGAAACACAGAAAACAAGCTAATTAGCTTTCTCTGACAGGACTTACAGAATTAAGAATGAAAATGGATGTTTGCGAACATTAAATCAGCATTAATGGTCGCAAAGTCACAAATGAGAAGACAGTTGTTCACATTCTAATGCAATTTATGCATTTTGTTTGATGTCTACCTCTTATTTTGCCTATTTTTTGGTGAGTTTTGTCAGATGAAATACGTCATGAAGCGTTGTGTTTTGCCTTGTTCTATTGCGACGTCATAATCAAAAGCCTTCACTCTCGTTAATACTCATTAAACTGCCTCATATATCATTCCATTAGCCAATCAAAATGCGTTTTACAAAAAAATTGCATTAGAGTTTATATTTATCATGTTTATTGGAATTTACAATACTTCATTATTATATCCAATCTGGGGCGATTGCTCCCAACCTGTAAAGCCACAGGTGGTTGTTCTGGGTGTGTAAAAAAATATTTAAAGGAATCAAATACTAACAAAGAAAACAAAAAGTGCTGTAGCTTTTACTCAGTTTTAGTTTAGTTGTTGATAAATTAAATGATTTTCCATGAATATGCCTATTTTAAAAGATTTTACAAAGGTCTACACTCACTTTTGTGTAAAGGACGTTTGTCTTCCTTTGGGTGTGAAAAGATTTGACACTCTTCTATTCTGGGACCGAGGATTTACTCCTGAAGGCGTGTACGGTGATGACCTAGCCCGGTTTGATGGGGTTCTTGGGCTAAACATCGTTTCTTTTAGCCGGTGCAATGATTTCGAAAATTACGGCGCGAGACGTTCTATTTGCTAATGCGTTCATTGAGAATTTCGTACACGAGTAAAAATAATTTTTAGTCTTTCTGTCCTCTTTAGTATATCTTAACATATACAAGAAAATTTTATTTGCATAAAAATTTAAGTAATAATTAAAATATATCGATCCTTCCTCAATTCCCGCATACAACACATTCCCATTCGGAGACCGAGTTGTTTTCCTCCGTTTTCATTGTAATCTAGTAAACGCTTTTTTAATAGGAATTCTAATACAGAGTTTTTAGGCTTTCAATTTACATTGAGGACCGGCAACGAGGAACGCCCCTAGACTAAACTTAGTGGAAAAAATACACAATATGTGCTCTTTTTAGGGCCAAATTTGATTGATGATCGATCAGATTTATAAACTGAATGGTAAGATTTTGCTAACGATGAAATATATTGATCTGACATCGTGATATTTACTTAAGGAGAGAAAAATGAGCGAATCTCCAGAAACAATAGAGCAAGACTCAACCACTGCAACACAACAAAAAGATTCAATCAACGAAATTAACAGTAAAGGATCGAATGTACCCATCGAGTCTGGAAAACATGATAAAAAGGATTCCAAGGTTGAGAATGACACCTCAGCCGGTGGAAATGGCTCAACAAGAGAATCCATAGAAAAATCAGCTACAAAGTGGGGCATTCATGAGGATCTTAGGCATCTTCAAGAGGAGGTCAGTATCACATAATAGTTAAATAAGAGTGTCAACATAAGTTTCTGAAGTAAAATTGTGACTTTAAAGTTTAGATAAGGATGTGTACAGTCCATCGATCCATGTATATGTGGTTATAATGTGGTCCATGTCAAGTGATATTGACCAAAGACAGAGAGAGTGACAAGGACCAACTGTGTTAGGTTGAGATGGCTTTCTGATCCTGCATCAATATTGCTTGCCGTGATTCCTTACAAATAACCAAAATAAAGATTAATCAAAATCTGAGTTGGATCAGAATAGCTTAATTGATGTATATCATGTATATATAATAAATTGATATATATATATTGAGGTTGACAGTGGTACATGTATGTTCCTTTACTAATAAATTGATTCCACTCAAGGCTTTAAAAATTAAATTATAAGTGATTGTCCTATTCTAGTATCCTATAATATCAACTTTGATGTTCTGTTTCTCTGTTTGAATAAAAATAGTACATTGAATACTGTCTAATCTGACACCTGTGCAATCCATTTCACTTTGAATTCCCTGGACCAGCTTTTATTTTCATTCCCATTTTACTATTTTCCATATTTTTTTTCTTTACACTGTGTAATCCCACACACTGTTTATTCCAACAAAAGTTTGTCCCCCTGTGCATGTTGAAAAAGACAGGTTTCACCGTACTTTTAATTGTAATGAATTGTTTCTTCACAGGATATTGTTTTAGCTGCTACTCTAGTGATTGATGCAAAAGAAGGAAGAAATTTTACATTTAAAACAGACCCTACTTATGTCAGGTAATGGACATTTGTTAATTGTGTGTATATTCATCGGTATCATATAGATGCCTCATTCTAGGTGTATCTTTTAGCAAGAGGAAGAGAATCATTGCTCTTCTGTATAAGGACTGAGTGATTCACAAGTATACATTTCAACCAGTCCTAACTACAAATTGAAAATCATCTTTAGTTGGCTAAGAAGTGACAGTGCACAGGCCATACAAAATATGGAATCGATCTTGATGAAAACTGAAGTTTTAAACTTAAGTGATCGACAGTTATTATTGAACTTGTCAACCTTTTTGCCTCCTTTATCTGAATATCCAGTGATTTTTCTCTTCAACAGATCATACAACTTGTACCACAAATTCTATCTGAGGTATCTACTCTACTTTATGATTCTCTTTAATCTGGCTCTGGCTCTGTTCGAGAGACCTGCTAAACCTGGATGGGAAATACCTCCATGGGTAAGTCCTTTACGAGTAGTATGTAACTTTGTTAATCAGCTGTTTTCTGAGTTTACCAAAGATAGGTGTAACATTCAGTGTCACAGATCAAAGGACTGAGATCATTAATTTTATTAGCTTTTAAAATTATATATCTCTTTTTATGCCTTCCAAAGAGATTACTGATTATCCTTTTATTATAACAGTACTATGCCTATGTTTTATGTGAATTTTCTCCCTTTGGCAGGCCTCCATGATTCTGGAGCTGGTGTGTCTTTCGTTCTTTATCTACCGTTTTACTCACTGTGCGTACTTCAGCCAGAGAAGTGTGTTTTGGAGGGACACCAAAAATATCCTCATCCTTGTTGTCATAGTGGTAAGTGTCCCAAAAATACTATTAACCAACAACTATTTTGCGATTTGTCCGCTTGAAATCCATCCATGACTAGTAATTCTTTTAACTGCGGAAACATTCTTATAAATAAATACACAATCAAATTTTAAATACATGTACCTGTTGTTCGAAGGGAAAAATATACATGTAGAAGACTGCAAAACTCAGGGATAATTCTTGCATGGGAATAGAAATTGGTTCACATTATTTCATAAATGTGCACTTGATGAAATGTAATGGAAATGAAAATTTTTGCATAATTTATTCTCCATGAGTGCTGACTTCTCAATTTGTCCATAACAAAAATATAAAATATACCAAGTTACATGTAAGAAAGATTTAATTTACTTTTTTGGGTACTCATTTTTTAAAAATTCTTTTAATACTCAATGATGTGTTTTTAATCACAGTATTGAAAGAGTACCGGTAGTTTTTAAGACAATTCTAATTAAGACTTTATTGGCAAAAACTTTCCATAACTACAGGATTGTATACGAATATAAAGTTTAGAAATGTTGATATCATTAATGACATAAGATCTTCCCATTTGAATTAAGCCTGCACAGAGGAGAGGTAGGTAGCAGATGTGTTGTAAGATCTTTTTGTGAAGCTTTTGCTATTTTTCTAACATTACTTGAACAAATTATCAACTTTCTTCTTTCTGCACAAACTGTTAGTTTTTCTAAAGCCTGACTTTTGTTTTTTTTTTTAACTCTCAGCACAGTGTTGACTAATTCATTAGATAAATTGTTTGGATGCTTTTGTTTGTTTTGAATTATATTTCTTTTTTTGGTTGATAACATTGATATTACTAAAGGTGAAAAACTGCAATTAAACTAAGGTTCCATTCCATTTAAAAGCAATTTGATATTCATTTCCCTTTCTAAAAAATGATAATCTGAAAGTACAACGTAGTTACATGTATGTGTGAAGTATATGTAAACAGAGTCCTTTGTTTCACTTAAAGTACTTTTTTCTTGCACTCAAAAAATTGGTATTAAAATATTATGTAAAATTTAATGCCACTTTAATCACTGGAGAAATAATGTTGTTAACATGATCGATAGTAAAATTGTTAGCTTTGAACATCTAGCAAATTTTATAACACGTACAACAGAATTTGATTGAATCATTAATCATCTGAGGCTTTCTTAGCTGAAGTCTTTTTTTCACTCTGTATTTACATGTAATCTCATTAGCAGACTAAATTCAATTTTTAGTGCTATTCACATTTTTAATGCACTCATTCATAATGCCTGAATGAGATATAATTAAGGCAGAGGTAGAAATGTATATTAGTGGCATATATTACTAGCATTTAGAAATATTTTTTTAAATACTGCATGACTTGGACATACAATCAGTTTATATATACTAAATTGAGTACAGCACATACATTTTACATGTACAGTACACTGTAATATATTTTCATCATTACGAAAATGTCATACGATATAAGAATGTTCCAAGGTTCGTCATTTTAACAAATACCTAATTACAGGCACTTATTATATTTTATTTTTAAAAATAGCTACAGTTGATTTTACAATATACAGTTAAACCTTGTTATCTTGAACTCAATGGGACCCAGAAAAAACTTTGAGTATTCCAAGTTTGAGATACTGAGGTAAATTACTTAAGAACCCTCTATACACTGCACACTAGAGATATCTGATTTTATGGTATTTTATGCAGAGAGAGTAATTTGCCCTTTGATCTAGACTAAAATAAATGGAAATGTACAGTATAACTTAATTTGTGATCAAATCAAGCATTCATAACATTTTAATAGGCCAAGATGAATAGATTGAACACTTCATGTGCAGGTATTTTGCCCACTTAAGTAAAAAACAGTGATTTCCGTTCATTAGTACTTCATTGTCTTTGAACATTTTTCCTCGGGGTAAATGCAAGGTACCCTGTGTTGAAAATGTGATAGATAAGCTCAATATTTAAACCTTTACACACTGTAATTTTCTCAATGTCCAAAAAATCTTTTCCTTTAGTGTATAAAGGGTTCTTAAAGAAAAGTGCTTGGAACTTCCAAATCACTTTGACAAATGCATAGTTTTCGAGATATTCCATGTTCAAGATACCAAAGTTCAACTGTATGCGTGTCATTGATTGGAATGATTTTGCTGCTGAGTTTTTGATGTACTGTTCATATACTGGTATTTTTGAATAGTACTAGTTCTTTAGTTTGCCTACAAACTGTTTCATTTTGATGTGTTGTAATCTGTTTCATTCAGAAAGAATACTACCTTGGTCATGTGCATTTGTAAAATGTACATGTGTACATACCAACCCAATTAATATTCATTACTTTTCAATGCGAGATTTATATGCAATTTGTTAGAAGAGGACTTTTTAAAGAATTACAGTTTGATCGATATGAGGGAACATCATTATTATTATTGAAATGACCAAAGTCATACTATACAACATATTATCATTCCTACATTGTATTGACTTAATTTTTAATTGTGAGGTAAATGCACATATAGCTGAAATGAAGTTTAACCAGCATTTAATGTTCCATTTCAAAAGCGAAAACCAGGTTTTATGATGTGATTTCATGTATTTGTATGCTGTCACTTATTCCAGCCTACTTTTGATTGACAGCTAACTTTTATTGATATGCTGTGCTTTTTAATCTGGGACAATGTGAAGACTTCCTCTCGACCAATCAGGTGGTCTCGGCCGCTACGGCCCTTATTCCTCATCAACTTCCCTGACGGAAAACAGGTAAAATTAAAATTTAATAATCTGGAAATAAATCAAATAAAGGATACTATCTAGTATATAAAATGAATTTATTATGAGAGTAAAGTATTTACATTCTCATGAATTTGCTTCAAGTAAATGTTTTCTTTTTTTAAGATCCGTCGAGCCTTTCGAAACATCCGTCGGACAGTTCCAGAAATTATGAATGTCCTGATTCTGTTTCTTCTCAGTGTTTTGTTGTTCGGGTTGCTGGCGTTAAAACTTTTCAGTAGGAGGTTAGGCCGGTCTCTCTTTTTCTATCTTAATAATGAATTCTCTATTAAGGAAGCTACAAGGAGAATACTCCAACATTTTTTTTCTATAATTTTTCTCATTTTTTTTCTTCCTAATTTAAAAGCCATAAATATTTATGAATATTAATTTTCATAATTTGCATAAAAATCTTTCTGAGTCTTCATCTATAAAATTACCAGCAATCAAGATGAACTTATAAGAAATAATAAAACTGTCCTGATTGTAGGGACCTTGTATATGCCAATGGTAAACCATATTTCAAGAATTACCTGGACAGTATATGGGACCTGTATGTTCTCGTTACCACGGCAAACAGTCCTGACGTCATGTAGGTACTCATAGCATCGATTACAAAATTAGAAATAAATTTTACTATCATCCTCTGTAACCCACAGATGATTCACATCAATTCTTTCTAACAGAGCTTATGGACTCAAACCCGTGGTGTGTGACAATGTTTTACTATAAACTCCATTACGAAATTACATATTATAATTGTTTTGCTGATTTTTAATTCTTATTCAAAATTCAAATTCATGCAACTTTTCTAATACTTAATGATCCTGTGTAATAATGATTTTAACGACGTTGGATCCTGATATTTAAAGTCTTAAACTTTTTTTGTCAAGTATATTTTTAGCTTCTACACACATAGCTTAATTAAAAATCAAAACAAAAAATGGGGGTCAATATGCTTCTTTTGGCGCTACAGTACATTTAAAATGACCTTTTTGCACTGAATTTGTGTCTTAATAAAAAATAACATCTTCGACGTTTTCCCTCCAATATTTTTTTATCCAAATAAATCATGGGACAAAGTATGCTATTATTCTCTCTTAAAAAAGACAAATTAAAATTGTGACAAAGAAAAATTTTCAAATTGATTCGCATAATCAATTATTTGACCTTTCTGCACTCACAAAATGTCATTTTTCGGGCATTAAAAATTTAACAAGCAAGAAAAATATTTTAAAGTCTTAAACTTTTGCTGAATTTAAGTAGATTGCTCAGAGTTATCTTATATATTTAGAAAAGAAAATCAAAAGTGGAGGTCTATGATGTTATTTTTTAGATATTACTAAAAAACTGTTAATTTTATGATAAAATTGGCTCAATTTTTTCCTGGAGTTTCAGAATATATTTTCTATATTTGTCACAATATGATGATAGAATTCACAAAAACTGATTTAATTAATATTTTAGAACCAGCATTAAACATTTCAATGCACAAAATAGCTCTGTGTGCAACCAGCATGGAAAAATAGGAATCTAAACTTAACAGTACTGTATATATTTCAAAAGGGAAAAAATGATCATTTTCTTCTAAAAAATCTTCCGCCACAAAATATAGTTCCTGGCTTAATCCTATTTGAATGGAATTTAATCGCGTTTTTTTCATTGGATATAGTATAATTTGCATTGTAGAATTCAGATTTAATGTTAGAATTAAAAAATAAAGCAGAATTTTAGAAATAAAGCTCCAGACCAAAATCTGCTCAAAAGCTCAGGATCGAATGTCCTTAAGGAAATGTACATGACTATATATCTTTGAGTATTGCTGGATTATCTCCCCTTTTGTAGGATGCCTGTGTATGACAGCAGTAATTGGTTTGCTGTCTTCTTCATTATGTACACTGTGATTTGTTGGTTAATACTGGATTATCTCCCCTTTTGTAGGATGCCTGCATATGACAGCAGTAATTGGTTTGCTGTCTCCTTCATTATGTACACTGTGATTTGTTGGTTAATACTGGATTATCTCCCCTTTGTAGGATGCCTGCCTATGATAGCAGTAACTGGTTCGCTGTCTTCTTCATTATGTACATTGTGATTTGTTGGTTAATTTTTATGAGTATAGTGCTCGCAGCCATTTACTACAGCTACAGAAAAAACCTAAAGGTTGGTGCAATTTTTAAATCCATTGGGGTCAGTTGTAGGTCTATCTTTAGGTCAATTAATCTTATGTATTAATCATTATTATTTAAAAAAGTACTAGATGTATACATCATATTATAATGATTAAACATAAGGTGAATATCTGTGCTTCATCCCAAGGTTAAAGTGACACCTAGAACTTGTATGCCACCACTAAGGATCATTAATTTCATATACTAATTTTAGTCATATTTTTTCTTTAAGAACATATCAATACATTATTTTATTGCTGTTTCAATTTCTTTTCTAAGAAACAAAGAGAGTTGATGTAAATAGATTGTATTGATTGATTGTGTGTTGTTTTACGTCCTATTTGAGCATTTTTCACTTTATAGAGACGTCACCATATACCGGTGAAGGGCTTCAAATTTAGACCTATACTCTGCACTCAGAGCAATTGAGCAGTGAGGGTTCTTTTTCGTGCCAATGCCTACCATGACACAGGGTCTCATTTTTTTTTTTGTCTCATACGAAGGACCCGCAACTTTCTCTTTAAAGTGTAGAGCACTTGGCAAAGGAACAGCTGCTACCTATTTTTTATCCACTTCGGTCAGTTGTGGCTGTGATTCGAACACATGACCATCCAATCACGGAGCAAGTGCTCTACCAACTGAGCTACAGTGACAGCTAAATTGATTGAAGATACTGAGGTATGTTTTTTTTCAGAATGAGATTAAGGCTGCTGTGTATGGGAAGAGGAAGAAGCTGGGTCAGGCGTTTGACATCCTCAAAGTTCAGAATGGAGACCGCCTGGTGGTGACCTACACTGTGTGGTGTGAGTTAATGAAGCGTGTCATCCCTAACCGAAGTAGGAGCCACATTGACCTACTGATCAGGGTGCTGGACATTGATGGATCAAACATGATTCGTGAGTACATACATCGTAATAAAACTGGTCATGTGACTTGGCAGCAGGTTCCTGTTATACATGTACATGTATTTTCTGCTCTTTTTCAATGTGTTTGACTCTTCCCCAGTGTTTTAATTGTTCCATTTTACCCCAAACCCTGATTGCAAAATGTTCATAATCTTCATTACTAATGTAGAATTTTGCTTCAATGATAATGATTTTGCAAAATAAATGTAAATTGTAATTGAAATGAAAGTAATTTCGGAATAAGTTGCGCTGCAAAATTTGACAGAAATTGTCTTTTGAATTCGATATTTTGTTTTTTAAGGGAATAGTAATCATTTATCCCAGTGAGAGTTATCTCTCTTCTCAGAGGGTCGATAAACCTTAACTTAAGGAGGAATGAATCTTTTCTAAGAAAGATAACTCTAACAGTTTGATTAATTTCTACATTAAATTTTTCTTCATAAAATTTTCATCTTCAGCAATGATTGGCATCTAATTTTGCTCCTGAAGTTATACTTGATTAAATTTGTTGAATTTTACTTGCATCATCATCTTCTGATAGACAACTGACATACATGTAAAATCAAAGAAACATTAAACATACATTTATTGACTGTTCATTTTCTCTGACTAACTGTTTGCCTAAGGCTGTTTGGCAGAAGGCATTATTTTGGTCTAAAGGTTCCATAAAAAGCAATAAATGTTTTATTCTTATGCCTTTTACTATTTTATAATGTTGCATCTTGAATTGCGATGGCATCTTTATTTGCAATGCAGATGACTAAATTTTGATTTACATCTTATTTACAAGTACTGGAAATTTAACTTGTTCAAATCTGTAACGTTCAAACACCAACGAATGCAAATTAGATTTAATGTTTAGTAAGCAGACTTGTTTCTAATATTTATTTACCAAGGTTTTTTTTTTGCCATTGCAGGCAAACAACAGTTCCTGAAGCTAGCTGATCTGTTAGAATTACAGCTGTCAGAGGTCAAGGACAGATTAACTTTCCTAGAGCAGACATTTCCCAACATTTACAACTCCTACATCAGTGGACTGGTCAAACGGGTGGTCAGGCACAAGTAATTGTCAAACTTTATTCATAAAATTTATAAAGTTTGTTTCTTTTAGTAAATAGTACATACTATTAAATTTTATATTACTTACATCTCACATTGTAAAGGTCCTAATGCACATAAATCCTGGTACATAATGAGACCAGTGTAAAAGTATACTTCAGATATTCTTTTAAACATGTACATGTTTTCTATTAAGTCTTTTCTTTCTTTGATTTCAGAGCCTTTCGGTACTTCTTTGACTTTATGATCTTTGTTAATGCTTGGTTTATTGGATTCGATGTGGACGAGGCAGATTGGTTCTTCCTGGGGATATTTATGTTGGAAATTGTATTAAAACTCTACACATTTGGACCCCGTGAGTTCTTCAAGGTCTTCTGGAATGTGTAAGTTAGCTCTTTTAATATTCATGCCTGAATGATATTTTGTATTCAGATCTGATTTTTTCTACAAAATTTGACAGAATGAAAGAAACCTGTAAAGCACAAAGAATTATTTTGACTAGAAATCAACAAATATGGTTCATATACATACAAACATATCATGAACTGTAATCCTTTAGTTAATGTAAATTCATGATCCTATGAAAACTTTTATGACTTGTGTCATTGGCCAGATTTTAAAGTCATTGAATAGGAAGCAAGCTTGTACATTCTGAGTTTATAAATGTTTAGTCTGCAGAATGATTTATATGCTACATCTGACTTATGCATAAATGACTCTGGTCAAGGACAGCTTTTAGGAAGTTATTCTCTTCTAGTATGTATACGTCAAGTAAATCCTGCTGAGTGTTTAAAAAGTTCTTCAAATGCCGAGATCCTAGACTATCGATCTTTGCAATAAAGTTTTGAAACAGTTTTCTTTTTATTCCAGATTTGACTTCATAGTAATTGGAGCAGCTGTCATTGCCTCTGCTATTGAGGCCATTGAAGACTCCAGTAAGTCAAAGATCCTCTGTTTTTTATTGGTCCAGCTCTAATTTCTGTACATCTTACCCCCAGATTTAACTTTTAAAAGTAACTTCAAGTTGAAGACCGAAAATGATAGAAGCAAGTCACATCCTAGATGGGCAATATTATTAATTAAATCTATATAATTATGCAGATCAGATTTTAATTCCATCCTGTTTACTTACTTACAAATGATTCTTATAATAACCAAAAAAAGTGTATGATATATTTATGTACTGTTGAATTTTGGTATCTTGAATACTGATATCTCAAATACCATGGATATGTTGAACTGATTTGGAAGTCCCAACCACTTATTCTTTTAAGTTTTTTTTACCCTTGATATCTCAAATCTTCCAGATATCTTGAAGTTTTTTCTCAGTCCGATGGAGTTAGAGATAATGAGGTTTGACTGTATTTATATTTCTAGCTTATGAGGAGTTTCAGCTACTAGATTATCTCCTTGTATTACGAGTTCTGAGGCTTTTTAAAATATTTGGAAGCATTAAACGGTGAGTCTATTACTTTATTTCTTTAAAACATTTTTCCTCAAAGTTTACATACTTGTTCTTTGTTTTTTTTCCCATAAAATTCTTAAACACTTCTGCTTCTCTCTCTCTCTCTCTCTCTCTTTTTTTGTTTTTTGTTTTTTTTTTTTTTTTGCTTGTTAATTTTTTTTTTTACAGGTCTAACCATGTCTTATATGTACAATGAGTATTACATGTATATCTATAAAATACAGATTTTTTTTACTTTCAGCTTTAAAGTTATCCTTCAAACAATCATCAACATAGGACCATCTATTATTACATATGGAGGGGTCATTGTGGTGAGTTTTATACATTTAAAAATTTTGAATGATCTTAAGTACAAATATCAATCCTTTTTATTAAGTAAAGCATTTAGGCTAATTGATTTTCAAAGCAATTTTTGTGCATTATCTAAAGGATATTTTAAAACATACATATCTTTATGTTTTATTGAATATTAAGTCTTTATTATTTGATTTTATACCCCTTTAGCTTACATTTTAATACAGTGTTCATGTAATGATGTTTCATTATTACATATTACTGTTTTGAAGTGTTTTATTAAATGTAGGGGTATTTTACTATAGTTTCAGGAGTTTTATTACTTTGACACTTCAGGAGTTTTATTACTTTGACACTTCTGGTGTTTCTCTAAATTTTCAAGTATTCTACTACATACAGGTGTTTTTGTTAATTTTTGGGTGTTTTATTACATTTTCAGGTGTTTTACTATATTTTTGAGTGTTTTACCACATTTTCAGGTGTTTTACTATATTTTTGGGTGTTTTACTACATTTTCAGGTGTTTTACTATATTTTTGAGTGTTTTACCACATTTTCAGGTGTTTTACTATATTTTTGGGTGTTTTACTACATTTTCAGGTGTTTTACTATATTTTTGGGTGTTTTACCACATTTTCAGGTGTTTTACTATATTTTTGGGTGTTTTACTACATTTTCAGGTGTTTTACTATATTTTTGGGTGTTTTACCACATTTTCAGGTGTTTTACTATATTTTTGGGTGTTTTACTACATTTTCAGGTGTTTTACTATATTTTTGGGTGTTTTACTACATTTTCAGGTGTTTTACTATATTTTTGGGTGTTTTACTACATTTTCAGGTGTTTTACTATATTTTTGGGTGTTTTACTACATTTTCAGGTGTTTTACTATATTTTGGGGTGTTTTACTACATTTTCAGGTGTTTTACTATATTTTGGGGTGTTTTATTACATTTTCAGGTGTTTTACTATATTTTTGCCATTATTGGTATGGAGGTGTTCCAGAACTTGATCCATTACTACGACTACTACAACCAGACGTCACAACCTTTCTGTGGGAATGCCAAACTGAACGGCACTCAGTTCTACACCTTCCATTACTGTAACAACAACTTTAACGACCTCCTCCACTCCCTGGTTCTACTGGTGGAACTTACTGTTGTCAATCAGTGGCATGATATCCTTTTTGTTTCAATTCGAGTTATTGTGATCAGCTTTAAGTACTTGACTCCGTATGATATGGAAGTAAAGTTACTTTATTTATAGATGTAGAGGGGAATAATGCATGTTTGATGGAAGATTAACTACCAGTTAATCCATACAAACATTTTAATCTAGTGGAAGACATTTATGAAATTGACAAAATTCAATAAATTTAACACTACTACAAACTGCTTTTCCCTTGCAGTCAATGGTATCTATGCTTCTATTTATTCTTAAGAGATCTGTCAGCAAGATTTTGCAGATTACCTTGGTTGTTTATGAAATAACATTTTAATGTATTATTAAAATGTTTTTATTTAATGTCTTTTAGACACAAGGTTTATTATTGATTTATTAATCATTAAGCCAAGAAGCATTTGCTATTTTCTTCCTTAACTGGTTCACTGTTAGCATCAGGATTTGTATCAGTGACCAGTAAAGTGGCACGTCTTTATTTCTTTTGTTTTCATATGTGTTGTGTCATCATCGTCCTTAAGTAAGTTTAAAACACTATTACATTTATATGAAGTATTTCTGTTATACAGTAATTTATTATATATTTTAAATAAGTGCAATGTGTTTGATTAATTTTGGAACCAGTCTTTTGGATTATATATGGGTTTGTTTGTTTTATTTCAGTATATTTATTGCATTTATTCTTGAGGCATTTATATTGGAGTACACCATACAAAAGGTGGGAAAGTTGGAGTCGTATGTCGAACAAAAAATTCGTGATCTGGGATTAGGCCTTGGACAGTATGTTTGATAAATTAAAGTATTTAAGCTTGTAAATTAACATTTAATTTTTAATCATTCATAGAAGGGGTATTGAAAAATAACAATGAGATTTGATGTAAACACTGTAGCAGTAAAACTCAGGAATAACAAAGTTCCGAGGTTCTGTGAATTCACTTTGCTATATCTGTAATTTGTTATACATGTTTTCATATAACAAATTCATTGAAGTATATGTCACAAATTTGCAATACAACATATGCATGTTTTCCTTTCTATGACAACCAAAAATGTTCAGTGAAATATTAAATCCAAAACTTATCTTTAAGAAATAAAGATTTTATTGGACTGAATTTCAAATATAAATATTTACAAAAATTGTATGTCAGTTCTATATTTAAAATCTTGAAATTTTAAAAATGTTTTATAAAAGATGTAAATTTTGTTATTTTCAACCTCTATGGGACATAAAATAAATTCACTATATCTGTTAAATCAAATCAGAGTTTGCTTTAAACATAAAATTTAACAAGGAATTTTTTAAAAGTTTGTCGGGGACACCAAAGACTTTGCTATGTTTAATTACATGTAATAATTCTCTATATCTATGTTTACTGAATGATTTTCTGAACAATATATGTAACTGGAAGAATGGAGTCTTTTCTAATTGACTTTTTACTAGCTAAGCACTAACTTCCTTTTCCTTTCTTTGTAATACTATGCAAAACACAAAACAACTTTTGTCTACATTGACTTTTTCTCCATGTTTAGGACCGGCCCAAGACCACGTCAGTTGTCTACGGCAAATGATGGCTCTGAACTGGTTCCCAATGAAGAGCTTGCTAATGTGGACCAGCCAGACTCAGATTCCGATACAGAGAGTATACCTGATTTATCTACAGAGAAGGGACTCAGATTTCACCTCAAAAAGAAAAGTAGGAATTTAAAATTTCCTATATATAGATGAAGTATAATATTTGGGAATATTTATACTTAAAAAAAAATTAGTTGAGACAAAACATCACACTTATCACAAATCAATTCAGATAATTCTCTGTATGAAAATGGAGGCAAAAATTTCCCTGTATACAGTATTTATTACAAGAATCCCTGATGGAACTTCTTTTAGTGTTCTGTATTTATTTTTGTAGGTCGTAAGAAGGTGGAGGTCCTGTTACAGCAGATGTTTGAGGGGGAAATTGACCCTGAAGACGAGGGGCCAGAGAACGAGACAAAAATTTACGTTGACAAAGGACCAAGACGACTCACCCTAGACACTGTGGCTTAATCAACACTGCAGATCAGGGCCTGGAAAATGAGGTGGAAATTTACGTTGACAAAGGACCAAGACAAATCATCTTAGACACTGTGGCTTAATTGACACTGATTGTCTTCATCAATTTGTCTTCAAATAAAATCAAAAGACTTGTCTTGCTGTCAATATTTCAGAAGATCTATTTTATTTAATTTTTACATGTATTTGCTGTAAGTTAATGGTTAGCATTATCTATCTCATGTTTTTATGAAGAAACTGAAGTTTTTCTTTATAGAATTTGTTTTCTAACTTCAGTTTATTTTCATTTTTATTGACCATGTCTACACTGGGATTTATATCAGTTCCATTAGGACATCATTACTACTGGAGCCTCCACTTTAAAGGATGTTATATAAATGGTTTTGCTTTTCCCAACAAAACAGGTACTCAAAAACCTTTTAGGAGTTAGGGCAAAAAAATAAATGATGCAAGAAATGTTTCATTTGATGCTAAGTCTATTTTAATGTATTATAAACTTCAGATGACATGGTGTTTACATTGATAATACTCAGTTATCTGTGTAATACTTTTTACACTGCTATTTACATCATAGACACATACAATTTATTTATGTCATAGACACAATTACTTACTTTTCAAAGAAATTAATGTGAATGCATATATGGTTAAATATTTATTTTCTGTATTCATGTATTATAAAAAAAAAATTATAATGTACTGGATGAGATGATTGGAAGGTTAACAAGTTTGGCTTTCCAGAAAGCCTGAAATGTCATCTCTTTGGCTTCATTAATGTCACAGAATAAACAGTGGAATGTAACATTTTTTCCTCAGCTATTACAGACAGAAGAACTTTTTTTCAAAAGGGGGGGGGGGGGGCACAGAATAAACAGTGGAATGTAACATTTTTTTCCTCAGCAATTACAAGCAGAAGAACTTTTTTTCAAAAAAGGGGAGGGGGGTATAGTCAGAAAAAAAATTACAACTTACCTGAATAATCTTTCACTAGGAAAAAAGGGGGTGTTCAAACTCGAAATTCTTATTTCGTGGATGGGAGGGAAGATTTAAACTTTTTGACTCTCTCGAAAACACATTGGGGGGGGGGGGGGAGTATGAATATGCTGCAACAAAAAAATGTGGGGAAGGTAGAGGCAAACTGCCTTTCAGTAAACATTTGCAACAGTAATTTCAAATATTTTTTGTATATGTGTTTAAAAAATGGATGGGTAAAACCTTAGCGTTCCTTTTGACTTTAAATCACAGCAGCTTACTCGGACAACAGCCAAGAAGTTTAAAGCGCTAACTTGAATTAGTCCGGTGTCATATAGTGAGACTCCCACCCCCATAGTGAGACTTCCCCCCGGAAATATGGCTATATATAGCGGTAAGACTCCCCGGTGGGGGAGAATTACTATATAGTGAGTCTTCCCCCCTAAACGACCATAGTGAAGCTTCCCCCTTCCATGTTCATTAGTATTTTATTTACATCGACGATGTATATATATTTGCATTTTGATAATGATCTTATAAAATAGATACATGTATGAATAAATATAGAAGTGCGTATTAAAAATTTATCGTGCACAGTAAATAATTGAATTGTTCCAAAATAATTCTTATAAAAAGAAACACATTTAACATTTAATAGATCATTACTCGTGGACTCTTGGAATTTGCTTATGTTAACCTTCATGGGGAACGCAATAAATACAATATAGTAAAGAAAGATGTATACTTGTAACAATAACGTACATTTTTCATTCAGTTATCTCGCATCAATATACATGTACATGTCATCCCATAATTATTTTTGGCTAACAAACTGTTAAAAGGCTATTAAGATGTTTTAATTATTGATAAACGGAGAACTTTTATTCATATACTGAAAAATATTGTTTTACAATGAAATAAAATATTCCGGAAACTACATTTCAGGGGAAGTCTCACCATGAAAGGGGGGGGGGGGGGGGAGAGAGACTGGCTAATTAGTGAGACTTCCCCGGGAGAAGTCTCACTCTATTGTCAGTCGATCTTCCGGAAGGAAGTCTCACTATATAGCCAGTCTTATCGGGGTATATCTCACTATATAGCCAGTCTTCCGGGGGAAATCTCACTATGGGGAAGTCTCACTATACGACACCGGCCCTCAGTTGATTTCGAAAGATTTTCCACTTTTAAATATATGGTTTCTCCAAAGAAATAACCCTCACATGCATTTAAATATAGGTCAGTAATAAAATTTACACGGTATAAGCTAAAATTAGGCATTTACAAATTATCGGAAAGAGTACCAATTTACCAACCCTGATATTTAGGCTGTTCAAGGAAACAATCATTTTATATAATAATATTTCAAGAATAAGAGAAGTGATTTGATAGCTTTTTTGCCACTAACCAATAATGCAATTTAAAATTACACAAAGAAAATGATTGCAGATGCTTTAATTATAAATTCTCAAAATACACCTCGGGTAAAGAAATTGCGTCTTTTATACAGAGGTAACAATATTGTATTTCTGACATTTATTTTTTATAGAACAAAAAAAAAAAAAAAAGAATAGTGCAGACATGCGTAAAAATTCACAATGATTATATAATCTTTCTTCCAATGCCTGTAGTTTTAACATTAACTATTTGTTTTAAAAAAATATTTTAAAAATGGCATCAGGTTATTAAATGACTAACATACACATAAAGGTAAAATTTTCGAAATCAATTCACATCAGTCGTATTTAAAACTTTTAACATGTGTTTAATGCGAGTATTTACTTTGATTTTGTTTTTCTGTAAATTCTTAGATCCACGCCTTGGCTGATCTAATCGATGCCAGGTAAAGTGTACTTTGATACACACGCACTGGTCATCATTTACGTAACAGCCTAGATAACTGCATGTTATTTGAAGACCCGCCACTTTGTTTTTTCTGTAAATACTTTGATCCACGCCTTGGCCGTTCTAATCGATGCCATGTTTAGTGCATTCTGATACACACGCGCTGACCATGATTAGATAACTGCATGTATTTTGAAGACCCACCACTACCCAAGCAATATTGTCTCTGTTACTCCCTATGATTTATGTGTAGTTCTTCTTTTTTAAGATGGCCTGTTTGACAGATCGCCCATTCTTTGTCATTGAGCAGTTTTGTATACATATCTATATTTAGAAATCGTGTCATTTGCCAGACCACCAGCTTATCAATGGCAGCTATATGTCATCTCTCGAGAGAGATGACAATAATGTTTTTTGAATGTAAATGGTTTTCCTCAGTATCTCATACATTGTACTTAAGGACAGATGGTTTATCAAAAATGTTGAAAATAACAACTTCAGTCAACTTTATATAAGTGATTTAAATGAATAAGTTAAACCGCATAGATTTTCATTTTTCATTCAAATTTTAACTGGATTTAAAGTGATAAAAAGTTCCACAGATAAATAAGGAAGGCTGCAGAAAAGGGGAATTTTGAACATGATAGAAAGTTTACAATATCTTAATGTTTTAGAAATTTATTATTCTAGTAATCATTTACAATCAAAATATATATATAAAAAAAAAAAAATGTACCAGTATACCAATCCAGGCATCCATTTTTTTGTTTGTATCATCTGTGCTCAATATGTAAGATTTATTATAATATATGTCTGTGATATTCTTGGATAAGCACAGTTTTAACAAATTCTTTTTTATTGTTGTATAAAACATGATAAACTAGTCAATGTAAGAAATTAGAGATATGTGCAGTTGTTTTTGCAAGGGATAGAATGGTGCATATTTTACATTGATGTAATATGACATTGGACAGGTATATGCATTTTCATTATAAAATGTTTATCAAGATCAAATAATTTTATTAAAATGTCGCAACATAAAAAAAACAAAATTTACTCTTTTGATTATGAATTGATATTGTATTTAACTGTTGGTTTGGTACTCTTTCATCAAAAAATCATTGAAAGTCTCTGAAATTCTTCCTTTTTAGGAAGGAAATCTTGCATAAAAAATCATATTAATAACCCCGGAGGGTAGGGCAGGGCCACAATGGATGATCGAAGTTTTACATAGGAATACATATATAGGAAAAATCTCCTCAAGAGCAGCAAAGCCATGATTAGTCATTTTGATGAAATATATGGAGATACCGAGCAGTATTCAAGCTCAAAAGTCCATTTAAACTATACAAATCGGAGCAGACCTCTAAAACAATAGAGGTGGGATCAGGTGCAATTGAGGAGTGAGCATTCCTGCCGACCAGTCACACCCGCAGAGCATTCCTTTTCATGATCAGATAATAACAGAAAAATCCATAGACAATTCAATGTGTAAATAATGGCCCAACAATTTGTATGAAAAACGTCTATCAGCATTTGACGTAATGATAGATTTTATTTGCTGACAAGGTCATTGTATTGACCATTGAGACTGCTGATATTCTTGTTTCATCAACTTGTTTGTCAATAACTTACTTCGTTTTAAGAATTGTAAAAATTGAGTCAGACGTAAAACATCTAGATACGAACAGATGTGGTAGACTTAGCAATAATTTATTTATTTGGAACTCACTTTAATATAGTCAGTCGACATGTTGGGTGTTACCGGTCGGAAGGGGATGCTCACTCCTCCATGGCACCTGATCCCACCTCTGATGTTTTTGTAGGTCCGTGTTTGCTCTGCTCCCGATTTTAATTGTTTTAGTGGACGTTGAGCTTGAATACTGTTCGTTATCTCCATATTTCATGAATGAAAGTAACTAGTGTTAATTCAGAGTGTACTTCAGAGTACTTGTGTGTATACTGAAAATGATCTTTACCAAAGTAGTTTTCTGGGTGTCTGATCATAAGATATGTAAATTTCCGAGTTCAATCTTCACTTATGAGGTTGTTCATGATTTCAACAAGCTTAGCGGGGGATATTCACTCCTCCATGGCACATGATCCCACCTCTGATGTTTTTAGCAAAGCGCGTTTGCTCCTGACTTGTATTGTTTAAATGGACTTTTGAGCTTGATTTCTCTTCCTTATTTTCATATTTCATTTCTTCGTGAGAAATAGTTCTATATAATATTTTGAAAAGTCATGTGTTTTGATGCTTTTGATTTTGAAGAAAAATACTTTAAAATCAAGTTTTAAAAACTATTATTTAGAGTTTCTAAAAATCTGCATTTGATTGACGTCACTTCTAGAATATGTTGTAGCATAGTTCATCTGAAAAGAATATTGCCAGCGAGGAACTCGAGCATCTTTTTCTCCTTATTTTCAGTATATCTGTGTT